TAGAGAGATAGCTGGGTCAAATGGTAGTTCCATTCCCAGATTTCCAAGGAATCTCCATACTGCTTTCCATATTGGCTGCACCAATTTGCAGTCCCACCAGCAATGTAAAAGTGTGCCTTTTCCCTCACATCCTCGCCAACATTGAATGTTGTTTGCCTTCATAATAGCTGCCATTCTGACTGGAGTTGTTACCGCTGTTGACCGGTGACAAGTCCTCGCTTCCCCAATGTTGAAGAATAACACCAGAGAAGCACGCCGAGGCAAGGTGAGAGTGGAAAGTAGAAGTTTATTAAAGGACAGCAGAAAAGACTTCTCCCGGAGGGAGGAAGACGGGAACCCAAGAGATGGAATCCATGGAAGTGCAGTTGTTTCCCCTTTTTGTATTTCTTTCAGTGATGGAATGTAGGTGGGAAGGCCGGAAGGGTGAAGGGTGGGGCACAGGTGGGCCAAAGAAGTAATCTTCATTAACATTTCTTTGGGATGGGCTCTGGGCCTTGGGGACATTAACATTCCAAGAGTTGTTCTGCTTTTCCCGGAATTCATTCTCAACATGGCCTCCATTTTGGATCTTACATGATATTAGACCCGATTTACCTAACTACACTGACTTCCTAACTTTAAATCTGGCTTCAGAGTGAGATGATGTGCATTTCTCTGATTGCTGGAGATGATGAGCATTTTTTCATATATTTGTTGATTAGCTGTGATAGAATGTCCTGGGTTCAATACCCAGTACTGAAAAAAACTAATCTCAGGTCCAAGATAGCAGTTTTGAAATAAGGCAGGTGTCCTCCTTTTAGTAGCTTCCGCCTGAAGACTGGAAGGCATGAACTGTTTCTGAAATTGATCTGCAGGGCCTTCACCCTATGTGATTTCCTATGTGGTTTCACATAGGAAACCACCATTATCAAATGGCCTTAGCCATCCTTCAAAAGGTTAAGACCAAACACATAAGACAGACAGAGAACATCACTTTTTGTTATTTTGTGGTACTGAGGATTGAATTCAGGAGCACTTTATCACTGAGCTACATCCCCAGTTTTTTTTTTTTTTTACTTTTTGAGACAAGGTCTCACTTATTTGCTGAAACTGGCCTTGAGCTTGCAATCCTCCTGCCTGGGCATCCCAGTGCCCTATTTTGTATTTTTGAGATAGGGTCTTGTTAATTGCTTAGGGCCAAAGTTGGGGAGGCTGTCCTTGAACTTTCCATCTTTCTGCCCATAGGCATGCACCATTTTTCTAGGCTGTTTTGTTTTTATATTTTAATGTTAATGTGGCTTGATTATAGTCATGTTCAACTTATATTTTAAGCACAATATCTATCTGCTCATGGTACACATTTCACTTATGAAGTAAAATTTTTTTTTTTTTTGCAGTGCTGGGGACATGCAGTGTCTCACACATGCTAGATAAATGCTCTATTGCTGAGCTTCACCCTTATCCTTTCCTGTATCTTTAAATGCAACCTCTTTATATGTTACCCTCTACCCACCAGCTGCAGGTGCAGGCACAGTGCCCAGTACTGAAAGGCTATAAACAGTATAAAAATTGGTCTTTGGCATCAATAAGCTTATTCTGGTGGTCTCCATTGATGGGAATGGGCCCCACAAAGATTATGCTAGGTCTCAAGCAAGCAGGGTGAAGACTGGGAGAAACCAGAGAGCATGTGTCTTTTCCAAAAGGGGTAGCCACTGCCCAGCTACAGCTGTTTCTTATTCAAGGAATGCAGACCCAGCACTGCTAGATTTCAGGATTTTTCAAGAGAAACTAGAAATCCATTTTTGCAAAAGAAATTTGTTGTTGCTATCTATACTAAACTAAAAACACATAGCTGGATTTGACCAGTCTATGGCTATTGTAGTAGTTCTGAGCATGGTCTCTGGTTTTAAATTCTGGCCCTACTATTCATCTGCTGTGTACAGTTGAGGGCCCCAGTTCTCTTCATCTATAAAATGGGCTTCTACCCTTATAGAATGGGGTTCTACCCTTATAGGCGTCCGAGCTTTCCCAGGATTCTTATGTGGATCAAATGAGATGCTGAAAGCCCTTAGTAACATGTGAACTCCTCATAAAGCTTACAGGTTACAGTGATTGAATGGATTTCATGAAGATAACAGGAAAGTTCATTGGGACAGTGGCATTTAGGGATCCTAAGATTAAACAGTGAACTGGGTGGAGACGTGAGAGGGGAGGTGGCAAAGGGCATATCAAGTCCAAGAAATGCACTTGAGAAAGCCCTGAAGCTACATTAAAGTAATGAGGATAGACAGCAGACAGGCAATTCTGTGGAAGCCAAGAATTTCCTGACTTCTGACAGTGCGCGCTGCAAGGAACCTCAGTTCAGCTTAAGTCTAGTCCCTGCAAACTTGGGACTTTACACTACGTTGGCCAGCGTTAACTTCTCTGACAAAACCACACCCACCAAGTCTTCCGCAGGGCCCCCAAACGCAGAAGAGAGAGGGAAGCCGAGGGGGCTGGTTTGGGGTCAGCAGTGAGCAGTTTTCTAGACGGAGGAAGATCTAGAAGGCAGGTAAGACGGGGCAGAGGTGGAAAGCAGTCCCATTTGCATTGGCGACTGAGGGTCTAAGAAGAGCCCTCCAAGGTTGACTGGAAGTCAGGCAAGGCATTAGAGTGGACAGCGTGCAGCGTCTACAATTTCAGGTTGAGGTATTTGGCCAGTTTGTAGGAACTCAGTTAAATGGAGAATGGGCGCCCCCTGGGAGCAGTACTAGGTAGTGAATGCTGGAGGACCCAGATGAGGAGGGCGGGGAGGGGGCGACTCAAGATGGGGGTAGTCTGCCCGTCACAGTTTTCTTCTCACAGAGGCTAACTGTGTCCGGCATGATGGATTCCTGGGCTCCCAGAACGGCTGGGCTGGAAGGGACCTCGAAAAAGGAACTACCGTCACGTGCCCCGTGCCAGAGCTGGGCACTTTCGTGAACATTGTCTTAACACTTCTAACTCTGCTTCGAGGTGGGTATCATCATCCCCAATTTTCAGGTGAGAAAACCGAGATTTGGTGACTTCCCAGGGCGGGGCGGGGATTTTGTGTAATTCCTGAGTCTTTTCCTTGGAGCCTCGTGACTTGTAAAATACAACCTCTGGATTCCCAGAGGTTTAGGGGAACAAACATTGGATGTGAGGCGTCCGAGCTTTCCCAGGGAAAACAGCGCTGAGTACTTTCCGCGAGAACCACGCCTCCCTTGTCGCGACAATATTGATCACTGTTGCTTTCCTTTAAGAGCCTTCCTTTGAAATATGAAATCCTCACCACACGGGGAGGCGGGCATTCTGTGTTCCTGGATTTCTCAGATGTTTGTCTCTCACCCGCACCGATACCCACTGGTGACACCAATTCTCCTCCACTGGCGAGTGAAAGCTTGGGACTACATTTCCCTGCAAGCCATTCAGAAAGGGATGGCGAGGAGAGGCGGAAAGAGACTTTCCGTTTCCGTTGGCTCTCAATTAGGCATGTCGGCGGTGATGCACTTTTCAACAGCCAACGTTCTTTCTCTGTATAGAGCTCAGAAAGGGACTACGTCCCCCAGCAGGCACTGGAGCGGAGGTCGAGTTACCAGGTTGCCATTATTACTGTAGTCCTCTCTCCCATTTCCGCAGGGAATAGTCTTAGCGTTTGGACTACAAATCCCATGCCGCCATCCCTTCTTTCCCTTGGCCGCCATCTTGGTTGTAGTCCCCGCCCCATCCCTTCCATTGTCTGGACTGAATATAGGGTAGCCGAGAAGACTGCAACTCCCGTCAGGCTTTGCGCCACCGGGTGCGGGATTTTGATATTATAGGCGGGCAAGATGCTCAAGGTGGCCGAATGAAGCGACCAGGAAAGGCTAGGTAGCCTGCCATCTTTATGGTAGTCTCTTCATCCCTCCGGTTCCGCCATTCTTACGGAATACTAGAAGGCTAGAAAACTACTATTCCCATCGCACCTCATAAGATCGGCAACTAGTCAGGTGTACGCCCCTCTTCCGCCATCTTGCTTGTAGTCCTCGTTTCTTTTCACCTTTCCATTGTTCCTGACGAGTAGAAATGGCAGCGGGAAGGCAGCAGATGGACTGCGACTCCCGTCAGGTACTACACACGCGGAGGGTTGTGGACAAGAGGGCGTGTGAGTGCCTGGGAAGGAGGTCGGGTCGGGGGAGAAGGCCATCTTGTTTGTAGTCATCGTTCCCGCTCCTTCTCTATGTTCTACAACGGGAAGCCTCAGGGCAACCGGACTATAACTCCCGGCATCCTCGGTTCCCGGCTTGGCACGCCCTCTGCCATCTTGTTTGTAGTACCCGCTGGTCCCAGCGTCCCATTTTTCCCACGGTAGCGCCAGAGTCCGCAGGACTACAACTCCCGCCGTGCCCTGCACGCGTTCGTCCTGGAAAGTTGAGGTGGTGGAGGAAAGAGGGGGCAGGGGGCGGGGTTCCTCCGGGAGAAGGAGGGAGTAAAGAGGAGGAGGAGGAGGGAAGGAGGAGAGAGGGGAGGGGGAAGAGAGAAGGAAGGAGGAAGGAGCTGAGGAGGGATGAGAGAGGCGGCCAGGGCCCCGGGCCGAAGCAGCGCGGGGCCGGGGGACCTGGGGGGCTAAGGCACCCCAACTGCCCCCTCCCCCTTCCTTGCTCCTCTCCATCCATTCCTTCCACCCTCCCGCTTGAGGAGGGGGGTTTATTCAAATTTTATTTAAATCCCTATCTCCCGAGGGTCGCGCGCTGGGGGGAGGGGGAGAGGGCGGGGGTGCGCGCGGGCTGGGGGGGGCGGGGCCGGAGCAGCTTCCTTCACCCCCCGCGGTTAGTCCCGTAGCCGTAGGGCAGGGGGCCGCAGTCCAGGGGCGGGCCCAGGGGAGGGGGGCAGGTTACAGCGACCCCCCCCTCCCCGGGAACCGGCGGTGGGCGGGGCTTGAACCCCGGAAACGGTGGGGGGGGCCGAGGCAGGTCCCTGGACCCCTGGGCAGGGGGAGTCTGGAAGGGGCCAGTTAAAGGGCCGGGGGCGCAGGGAGAGGCGGGGTGGGGGGAGGGGACCTGGGACTCGGACCGGGACTGAGTGGGGCCCGGGCAGAAGCTGAGCACCCTGCGCCCGAGAAGCCCCCGTTGGCCTGGGGGGGCTGAGGGACTGAGCCCCCCAGAGCAGGACCTCCCCCTGGAAGGGCCGCGCCGCAGCCCGTGGGAGGGCCTCGCCCCCGGCGCCCCCCATCTCCACTCGCCGCCGTCCCGGCCTCCGCCGGAGGGAGGGGCCGAGCGCCCTCGGGGGGCCGTGGACCCCGGCGTTCTGAGCGTTCCGCGCCCCGCGCCGCCCGGCCCCCCCGCCGCCGATGGCCGCCGACCCGCCGGGAGCTGCCGAGAAGGGAGAGATGGCTCCCGGGACACGTGTGAGGTGGGTTCATGCGGCTCCTCCTCACCCCCAGACCTGGGCAGCTCCCACTCCCATTCATCCTCAGCCCGGCCTCTCTACCTTCCCCGCCTCCAGCCTCACCCTCCCTCTCCCTTTGCTTCAAACTCTTCATCTTCAGCCCTCCTTCCTATAACCTCTCAACCCTGGGGAACTGGCCTTCCTTCCCAGACCCAGCTTCCCCTTGCAAATCCCCCACCCCCAAATCCCCGCCTGCAGTCGCCGCCCTCTAGGCCCCTCCCCTGGAACGCTGGAGGGCCCCTTACCCTCATGGATGGGTCTGGAAGTCCCTGGAAAGGGGGAAGCCAGGGTAAGACTGGGAAGCGACCCTCCAGGCCTGCTGAGTCCATGTGGGATCTTGGAGAATCTGGTTTCCATGGGGAGGGGAGCCCCCCATGGGATTCCAGACAATTAGGGATGGAAAGCAGCTTGGGAAGCTGGGGAATCTAAGTCTGAGCCCATCCTGAGTTCTTTGGAGATGTCAGGTTGGATTCTAGAATCCCAGGGAATCTGGGAGATTGCCCAGGTTGACCTAATAGGTCCTACAGGAAGTCTGGAAGCAGAGGGAGCTCTGTGGGGAACAGAGGAGTTGAGATCTTGGACTGAGAAGGAACTCTGAAGAAGCATCTTGGGGGTATCAGAGTCCTGGGAAGTTCTGGAACAGATGGGTCATTAGGGATGGGGGGGCAAGGATCCCACTGGATCTGATGAGGTTTTGGGGGAAGAGCAATTGGATGATGTTACCTATAAGAAAGAAAAAGGAGAAAGAAAGAAAAATCTGGTGTTTCCACTGAGGAATCTGTGGGTGTCTTGAAGGTAAATCTGGGCATTTTAGACTGGGGAGAGCCTGGGATATTTTACATTTGGATAAGAGAGGAAATGTTGGGACCTCTCTGAAGGTAATGCCACAGACTAGGAGTTGCTGGCCTTTCTGAGGAGTTTTAACTTGGGGATGGCAGAGGAAAGGCCTCTCCTCTGTGGGTGAGGGTATGGGCACTGAGGAAGTGTTAGAGGAGGAGTGAGGTCAGGAAGTCAGTTTTCATGGATCCCAGAGGAGTTGGATGAGCTAGGGAGAGAGTGAGAGGCCTTGAGTAGAGGGAGTGGCCCCCCACCCCCAGACATACAGAAGGGGTGACATTTTTCCCCTAAGTAGGAGGGCAGACTCTGGCTGCCTATGGTTGGAGGGAGCTACCAGGAGTCTCCTGGGCCTGGGCTCCACTGGGCCCATCTGACCCTGCTACCATCTACCAACAGCCCTCGGCGTTGCTGACGCCCCCAATGTCGTCGAGCAGCCGGGGGCCGGGGGCCGGAGCGCGCCGACGCCGAACCCGCTGCCGTCGCTGCCGGGCCTGTGTGCGAACTGAGTGCGGGGACTGCCACTTCTGTCGAGACATGAAGAAGTTCGGGGGGCCCGGGCGCATGAAGCAGTCGTGCCTGCTACGGCAGTGCACTGCCGTGAGTTCCGATCCCCTCACTCCTCCGCTGTTGGGCCCCTTCGCAGCACTCCTCTCCAAAACTGTCTTTCACCCTAGCCCCCAAGTACTTTTCCAGGGTGACCGATGAGTGCTTTCTAGAATGTACTGTAGAGTTGCTGTTTATTTCATTCTTTCAGTGATTTGCTTAAATGTCCATTTGTGTCCTTATCTCCATGTGAGGGGCAATGTTAGGGTGAACAGAAGAATGTGACAGTCCTTTCCTTCACCCCCTCAATTCTCAGAGACACAGACCCATAGAAAACAGCCTCTGTTGGGCAGCTCCCCAGAGGTATCTGTGCATAATGCAATCCATCCCCAGACCTGATTCCTAGAAAAGTCTTTTTTCTGGTCCCTTCCTCACTATCAGGGTAGTCTTGGATTTGAGGCCAGGCTTCCCCTTTGTGTGACCTTGAGTATATTACTTTGAATCTCAGGTACTTTCTTTGTAGAATGTTTCCTTTGCTGAGTTGTAAAGATTAAACAATGGCATGGATATGAATGTGCTTACCATGAGGCCTGATACACTCAGTAGGCATCAGGGAAACATGGGTTTCCTCTCTGCCTTCCTTAGCCTTTGAGCATCCCTGGGCTCCAGAGAATGGCCCCTCCCTACCAGCCACGAGGAGCCAGCTGCATCCTGCATCCCCCTCCCCACACTCAACTACCTCCCTCTCTTCCTACAGCCACTTTTTCCTGGTTGGACTCTTCCCCACACAGCCCCTCTCTTCCTTTGTTCCCCAAACCATTGCCTCACTTTCCTGTTTCTTTTTCCTCTACCTGCTTCTTCCTTGATCCTGTCATAACCTTCAGCATCCCTGATTTGATTCAGTATTGCCATTGTCCTCCCGAAAATCACATTGTCTGAGGACTACTCCCATTTTCCCTAAGACTCAGCAGCTATCTTTAGTGTCCCCAAAAGTCTTGCCAAAGTTTGGTTTACTGTAGGATCCAGAGCACCCGTGGGCTGCCCACTGAGCAACCTCGGAATTGCCCCAAGTTGCTGCCGTGTCTTCTCCAGCCTTCTCTGAGTATTATTGTCCCAATTTGCCTGTGGTTTCTCTCACTCCCCAAAGCCAGCCATAATTTCAGGGTCACACTGGCTGTAACAATCACAACATTAATTACAACTGTGTATCAAATGCCCCTCATGCATTATCTCATACTTATAACAGTCCAGCAAGGGAAAGATTCTTTGCCCAGCTGTCCAGATGCAGAAACAGTGTCTTGAGGTTAAATCAGTTGCTGAAGGTCGTACTGCCAAAAAAAGGCAAATTCAAGATTTGACTCAGCTTGGCCCATGGGTTCTGAGCCTCACCCAGCTGCTGACCAGGGTCCCCAAAAGGAAGTCTTTCCCTTGTAGCTTGCTTTTGGGGTCCCTGATGCCTCCTCTCCCCCAACAGCCCGTGCTCCCACACACAGCTGTGTGCCTCTTGTGTGGGGAGGCTGGGAAGGAGGACACAGTGGAGGGAGAGGAAGAGAAATTTGGTTTGAGCCTCATGGAGTGTACAATCTGCAACGAGATCGTCCACCCTGGCTGCCTGAAGGTGATAGCCCTGGGGACCCTGGAATTAGATTGTCAGGGGGCAGGGAGGTGGACCACACTGCCTCTGGGTTTATATTGGCACCTTCCATCTACTCCTTGCCCTCTTGCCTGCAGATGGGGAAGGCTGAGGGTGTCATCAATGCGGAGATCCCCAACTGCTGGGAGTGCCCTCGCTGTACACAGGAAGGCCGCACCAGCAAGGTAGGGGAATGGGCTAGGCAGGGTTCTGGGCTCTGAGACAGTAGAGGGTCAGGAGCTGTGCAGGGCCTCAACCCCAGTTTCCATCTCCCTAGGATTCAGGTGAGGGGCCAGGCCGCCGCAGGGCTGACAACGGTGAGGAGGGCGCCAGCCTAGGGAGTGGATGGAAGCTGACGGAGGAGCCGCCACTTCCACCGCCCCCGCCCAGGCGGAAGGGCCCTCTACCTGCTGGGCCGCCCCCGGAGGACATGCCTGGGCCCCCCAAACGCAAGGAGAGGGAGGCAGGGAATGAGCCCCCCACCCCAAGGAAAAAGGTGAGCCCCATGGGGCATGCTCACTAGCTCAAGGCATGTTGGGGCTGTAGTACTGGCCATTTTTTGGTGGGGGTGGGCCTGGGAAGCAGGGGTTGTTGGGAGATGTAGTTCAGGAGTGGCTGGGGTGGTAGATCATGTTCACAGTAAAGAGAAAATACAGGTAAGGGAGAACTGGCACAGGCCAGGAAGCTTTAGGAGCCCTAGGTGGGTTAGGGAGGAAGGAGAACGAACGCATGCTCAAACTAACTGCTACAGAGGAAGAGGGAGGGGCTGGAAAGAGCCTGAGGGGGAAGAAAGAAGAGATGAGAGCATGCTCAGTGAGCTGAGACTCTGGTTGCAAGGTGAGCATGCTCAGAGTTCTCCCTGGGATGGGGGCTTCTGGGATTTGTAGTCTAAGAAGGTGGCATGGACTATAGGTTTGTGGGCACTGAGGGCCTAATGGGGTCTCCCCTTCCCCCATATCTTCCTTTTGCCCTGGTAGGTGAAAGGAGGTCGAGAGAGGCACCTGAAGAAGGTGGGTGGAGACGCCTGCCTCCTCCGAGGATCGGACCCAGGCGGCCCTGGCCTTCTGCCCCCCAGGGTTCTGAATCCAAGCCAGGCATTCTCGTCCTGCCACCCTGGGCTCCCTCCCGAGAACTGGGAGGTGTGCCGGGGATCTCCTCCCTCCCCTACCCACCTCTCCTTGCCCTACCCTTCACCACAGAGACTGAGATTGTCCCTTTCTGTTCACCTTTTCCTACCCTATCCCACATGGCCCCAAAGGGCACCTGGATCCCTAGGAAGAGTGGGGTGGAAGAATGGGTTGGGTCCAGGCTACAAGAACTCCTGACTTCCCTAGAACCCTTAGGGTCTTATCTGGCCCTTTTGCCTCATCTTTTTAAGTCTTAAAAGGAATTCAAATTTCTGCCCAACCACGGACTGTGTATGGTCTTGGCAACTGGTCAGCTGCCCTAAGCTTCAGTTTTCTTATCTGTAAAATGGGATGAAGCTATCTTCTTAACCTACCTGTGGTTACCGCACAGCACTATATAAACCAAATGCTGTAATGAAAGTAAATGAACTTTGTTAACTATAAAGTTCACCTAGATTCAAGGAACATGAGGCCCAGGGAGGTTAAAAGATTTACCCAAGGTCATACAGCAAAGCCAGAATTCAGATAGTACCTTGCAAGAATTCTATCTGGTTGTGTTCAAACCTACTTCTACCATTTAGTTGGGTGTCTTTGTCTAAAAGGAGTGGCTCAAGTTGCCACTTAAATTATAATAGGAACTCTCATTTTGTGGAGTAGGTACTCAGAATTACCTAGTCCAGCTGTTTTATGTCATGAACAATTAAATGGTCTTCACAGTGTTGATGGACAAGCCAGCATTCAAGCTAGGTCTCTTCTTTTTTTTTTAAAGAGAGAGAGAGAGAGAGGGAATTTCAATATTTATTTTTCAGTTTTCGGCAGACAAAACAACATCTTTGTTTGTATGTGGTGCTGAGGATCGAACCAGGCCGCACGCATGCCAGGCGAGCGCGCTACCGCTTGAGCCACATCCCCAGCCCCACAAGCTAGGTCTCTTTTTAAAAAATATTTATTTATTTATTTCAGTTTTCGGTGGACACAACATCTCTATTTTTTAAATTTTTATGTGGTGCTGAGGATCGAACCCAGTGCCCCGCGCATGCCAGGCGAGTGCATTACCACTTGAGCCACATCCCCAGCCCCAAGCTAGGTCTCTTAACTGTTGTCTTTTCTGACTTGAGAAATTTATGAATCATTGAAACCCATAAGGTGGGTTTTTTTTTGTTTGTTTGTTTGTTTCTTTTTGGTTCTGAGAATTGAACCCAGGGTCACTTTACCACTGAGTCACATCCCTGGTTCTTTTTTTTTTTTTTAATTTCGAGACAGGGTCTTGCTAAGTTGATGAGGCCAACCTTGAACTTGCAATCTTACCTCAGTCTCCCAAGTCACTGGGATTATAGGTGTTCTATCATGCCTGGCTTTCCATAAGACTAAATTCTTTGAATTAGTGCCTTCATATTCAAGATGAGAAAACTGAAGTCCAGAGGTGGCTGAAGTATCATGTTATTTGAGAGCAGTTTGAAATTGAGGACCATCCCTTGGGCTCTTCACTCCCTGGTGATTCCTTGTGGGTAGAGGGGTGGGAAAGTATGTCCCAGGCCCTAGAACAGCCTCTCCCTGTCTTCTTTTAGAAACCAAAGCCACCTTTGGCCTCTGCTGAGGGCCCTGCCGTGCCATCCCCATCCCCACAGAGGGAGAAGCTGGAACGTTTCAAGCGGATGTGCCAGCTGTTGGAGCGGGTGCCTGATACCTCTTCTTCTTCCTCGGACTCGGATTCTGATTCCGACTCATCAGGCACTTCGCTGAGTGAGGATGAGGCCCCTGGCGAGGCCCGGAATGGGCGACGGCCAGCCCGGGGCAGCTCTGGCGAGAAGGAGAACCGTGGGGGGCGGCGGGCTGTGCGCCCTGGCAGTGGGGGGCCCTTGCTCAGCTGGCCCCTGGGCCCCGCCCCCCCACCCCGGCCTCCACAGCTGGAGCGGCATGTGGTACGGCCCCCACCTCGAAGCCCTGAGCCTGACACACTGCCTTTGGCTGCTGGATCCGACCATCCCCTGCCCCGGGCTGCCTGGCTTCGTGTCTTCCAGCACCTTGGGCCACGAGAGCTGTGCATCTGCATGCGAGTCTGCCGGACTTGGAGCCGCTGGTGAGTGGTGGACAGACCTGAGGTCTCGCTTGCTTTGCGACCTGCCATAGCTCTCTGATCCTCTCTAGGCCTTGCACTTCTATAGTATGTACACATCATAGTGTGATACTTTCACATTTACTGTGGGCAGCCTGTTTTCCATTTAGGAGCTCATTTAACCCTCTCCAACTTTGTTAGGAAGAAATTATTCCTCCTTGTTCAGATGAAGCTGAGACCTGAGGTCATGTAGAGAGGAAGTGTTAAAACCAGGAATTTGAACCTAGGCCCTCTGGCTCCAGAATTTTTTCTCTTAATAACTGTTGTTATTTATATTGAGTGGTTAGTATGTGCCAAGTGTAATGCTGTAATACAATATCTCACTTTTTTTCTTTTTTTTTATTTTGGCAGTACAGAGGTTTGAATCCAAGAGTGTTTTACCACTGAGTAAAGCTCTTTTTATTTTTTATTCTGAGACAGGGTCTTGCTAAGTCATTGAGGCTGTCTTTGAACTTTGATCCTTCTGTTTCAACCTCCCAAGTTGCTGGGATTACAGGCATATGCCACTGAACCTGGCTATCTCACTTAATTTTCATGCTCCCTCTTCTGCGGACAGTCTTGACTAGTGGTCCCATTTATATATGAGAAATCCCTTTGCTGGGGTAGCCCCTGCTTTCTCTAAGACAGCCGTGCTTAGACCTCCTGACTTGGTCTATCTTCTTCTCCCTATTCTCCCAGATATATCCCACTGCCTCTTGACCCTTGTTTTTCAGAAATGTCAGTCATCCTCCCAAATCTAACTTTTCTTCTCTCCATCAGACTCCCACAGCACTGTGTTCCCCTAATGGAGCACACAGAGGCATTTGGCATGTTGACAAGCCTTCATTCATTTATTTGTTTTCATGTTCCCATCGCATATTGTGTCTTTTTTATCTTCATGTCCCCAGCATGAGACAAAGGGCAGTAGAGATGCTGAAGAAATGTTTTACTAAGTGAGTAATTCAGGCTCTTTCCCAGTATTCACTGTGGCCTGGGCTTCCTGTTGAGTGCTTCACAAATTTTAGCTGATTTGTTCTTTATAATAGCAGCCCTGTGAAGGAGTGAGGGACATCTGAGGCCATAGTGCAAAGTTAGAGACTAAACTCAGATTCCATTCCCGGACCTCTGAGATGAAGTCTAGAAGTCAGCTCTAGACTTCTAGACTGGTCTGTGTGGAGAAAGGCGGTTGGGGTGCAGGCTATAGAGGCAGATCGCCTGCAGCAGACTTGTTCTTCCTCTGATGAGCGTTTGCCCTTGGACCAGTTTCTTAACTTCCCCATGCCTCAGTTTATGCATTTATAAAACTGGGATAATCAAAGCTCTCACTTCATAGTGTTCTTGTGATCTGGTACACAAACTGAGCAGAGTACCCAAGAGGTAGAAACACTTGGCCTTAACTGTAATCTTTATTATTCACTCATTTTTAAAAGTATTTACTGAAAGCTCAACGTTTTAGTCCTAGGAACATAAATCTGTGTCCTTGAAGAGCTCCCAGTCTGCAACATAGAAGCCGATAGTTACAAAAGTTGCTGGGGATTACCACCCCACCTCAAGTATTAATTGAGAATTAACTGCAGAGACCCCTCCAAGGCCAGCTTTGTGCTTGGCACCTGGGACCCAGAACTGAAAAGAAACACATTTCTGCCTCAGGGGAGAGACTTGTAGCTGGAAGTATTAGCTGTGTAGAGAGGCCATACTGCAATTTTCATGTTAATATAGCCCTGCCTCAGGGTCTGGGGAATTTGTTCTAAGACTCCATTCCCTCCAGAATACCAAAATCTAAGGATGTTCAAGTCCCTTATATAAAATGATGCAGTGTTTGCTATAACCCTTTCTTCTTTCTTTCCTTTCTGTCTTCCTTGATGCTAGGAATTGAACCCAGGGGCCCTCTACCATAGAGCTAACATCCCTAGCCCTTTTTAAAATTTTTGAGAAAATCTTGCTAACTTATCTAGGCTAGCCTCAAACTATGATCCTCCTGCTTGGATCATATATAAATGGGACCACTAGTCAAGACTGTCCGCAGAGTTGCTTGGATTATAGGCAACAAGGAACTGCAGCCAGCTCCCACGTACTTTAAATAATTTGTAGATTACTTATGGTACCCAATACAATGTAAGTGTTATTTAAATAATTATTACACTGTATTGATCAGAGAGTGATGATGAAAAGTCTGTGCGTGTTCAATACAGGTTTTTTTGTTTGTTTGTTTTAAATGATTTTGATTTGTAGTGGTTGAATCCACAGAAGTGGAACCCTTTGATACCGAGGGCCAGTTGTATTTACTCAATGGGGATAAAATGAGGTGGTTCCTGCAAAGCACTTAGCACAGTTTTCGAAGGGTACTAAACACTTAGTAAGGCAGTAGAACAAGTAAGGAGGCTCTCCCATGTCTGTGCACAGAAGCAGGTAGGGAAGGGATCAGGTTGAGACCTTTTTAAGAAGGGCAGTTACTTGGACTTGGTGACTTATTGGCTATAAGGGCAGCAGGGCAAATCTCAGCTGAGTTTGTGGCCCAAGAACATGAATGGGCAACAGCACTGTTTCCCAAGATTGGGAATCACAGTGGAGAAGCAGGTTCCAGGGGAAAATGAAAGAGCTGTGACCTGTTTGGTGTAAAGGGGTTGTGGGCCAATTCAGGAGAACTAGTACAGCAGCTGAATCTGCCTGTTGGGTGCTCAAGAAAAAGGTGAGTTTGGGGGTTTTCAGCCTAAAGGTAGCACCTTGGAATGTGAGAGCAGATGATAGAATGTCAATATTTATGAGTTAGAGAAAGAGCAGCCCAAAAATTAGAGATCAAGGATGGAGGTTTGCCTAAAAAGAAGGGAGACTAAGGAAGGTGGAATGAGGAGCACTGGTAGATTTTGGTAACAAATCACAGGAGGTCAAGGACCAAGAGGTAGCAGTTGGATTTTGCTACAAGAAGGCCTTAGTATCCTTGGCTGTGGTATGTGGGAGTTGGGGGAATAAAGCCAGACCACATGAAATTGAGAGTGTTGACTCCAAGGCAGGGACCTGCTCCGTTTATTCTGCTGTGTCCCTGGTTTCTAGTGTGGTGCCTGGCATACAGTAGGTACTAAAATAATAGGAAAATTTGGATGGTATGTAGAAAGAGGTAGTAGAGGGTGGAGCTGGAGAGAACTTTGTAGGTGGGAGAGCAGGAAGTTGCAGGCTTTCCTGTCTGGTGACTTTCATCTTCTCCTGGAACTGGGAGGCGAAGTGATCTGCCAAGAGCTGAGGGAGAGGGCAGCAGGCAGGGAGGCAGGGAGGAGTTGTTGAGTTGCCAGGATTGGAACTTTCAAGGACATGGATATAGAGGGTGACAAGGGAGGGACTGGAACACAAGGTCAAGATCAATTGGGGTTGGGAGTGAAGGCCTAGAGGTAAACAGATTGGAGGACAGTAGTAGCATCAGGGAGCTAAGAGAGCTGATGGGAGCCAAGAACAGTAGTCAGGGACCAGGAGGTGGTAAGTTTGCAGGGAACAATTAGGACTGTTCAACTCTTTGTTCCCCAGGAGCTTCTGCAAGATGAGGCTTAGGACTAGAATGTAGGGTTTTGTAGGTGGGCTTAATAGGATGATGACTTAGTCAGAGAATTGCTGGAGTCAAGCAGAAGATGGATAGGTTGGGGCACTTGGATGTTAAGCCCTGCCTATCCAGGATGATGACAGGCTTCAGCTCTTAAGTCCTTCTTTCCTCTTGGCTTACCATCATTCCCTATCCACGCCTCTCCATCACCTTCAGTGAATTCCTATAGGGATGCAGGACATGAACCTCGTTCCAGTCATGGCACTAAACACTTACCCTATACAGTCTCTCATCATTGGTGCAGCAAACCTTTGAAATTAAGTGCTGTCTTTTGCCTTAATTTTTGGTTTTGGGAATGAAGGCCCAGAAAGGGCACATGCCTTGCCTGAGGACACCCCAACCATAGAGGTGGGGAAGCTGGGATTTAGATCCCCATAGTTCATACTCTTCACCTTTGGGCTCTGTGGCCATGACAGTTGGTTGCTTGGCATTCAGCCCTCCATGACATTGAACCCTCATCCCGAGCCTCTTGTGCAGCCTCAGCCCTGCTTCTTCCTGCTCAGAGTTTAGGCTCTCTCCATTCAGACCAGCTTGGTTTAAGCTTGACTTGGCTACCATTTTGAAGCTGTGGGACCTTGAACAAGTTTCTTAACCTCTCTGGACCTTGTTTTTCTTTTTCTTTTTTTTAAGAGAGAGACAGAGAGAGAATTTTTTTTTAATATCTATTTTTTAGTTTTCGGTGGACACAACATCTTTGTTTGTATGTGGTGCTGAGGATTGAACCCGGGCCGCACGCATGCCAGGCGAGCGCGCTACCACTTGAGCCGCATCCCCAGCCCCCTTGTTTTTCTTAACTGTAAAAAAGAGATGATAATGATCTCCTAGGGCTGTTGTGAGGTTGAATGCTTAATGCAAAGAATAGTACCCAACTTGCAGTAAACCCTGAGTAAACATATGTTATTACTGCTGTGGTCTTCATCACCATTATATAGGATGAGCTTCCCTTGGTTCCTGCTGCCTGGGGTTCCCAGAGCTTTTGAGTTTTTTCTCTCCTGGGCCTAGATGCAGTCTCTACCCTGTTCCTTTTCTCCTCTTGCTGGAAATAACAGAATAACTGCTTGCTTCAGCCTCATTTCAGGCACCGTCTCCTTGGGGATGCTCCCTTGTTCCAGTCTGCAAGTTGACTCTTACATGTCCCTTACTGCCTCAGTTACTGCAAACTGTGTCTCTCCTGTTGTATAGCAAGAACCCTGTCATCCTTAACTGCTCTGTGCCCAGTAGAAACTGGACACATGGTATCAGTAAGACTCTCAAAGATTGTTGCCTGCCACTCAAGTTTAAACCTATTGCTCTGGAACTAATTACAATGAAACTGATTGGCTCTAGCCAAGAAAGGGTCAAGGAGACTTCCTGGAAGTGAGGGTACTGGAGCCAAGCCTTAAAGGGTCTGTGGTGGTTGACCTTTCCAGCAGAGGCATAGCATATTCCAGAATGTGTTGGCACCAGACAGTATTGTGTGTCTGTAGGCGGGAAGGTGGTTTGGCCTGGATCTTGTAGAGTGGTGCAGAAACACAATTGGGGACCTATGAGTGCCCCAAGGAGAGGGGTTCCCTTCCAAGTGTGGACAATTTCCGGAAGGGCTTCAAGGAAGCAGATGAGCTAGAATTTGCAACTAGGTCAAAGGGGAGAGAGAGAGGGTTTATTCTTTCTTTGTTGTTTGTTTTTGTTTTTTATTGTAATGGGGATTGAACCCAGGGCCTTACATACGGCAAGTTCTCTACCACTGAGCCTGGCCCAGAGAGAGGCTTTAGAGTAGGATTTCACTGAATGGAAAGAGAGAGACAGGGCAGAAGCTGGGTTGAAGGTAGAATTTCCCCTCTCCCTTTTCATTCTTAGAATTGGAGAGAGTTATGTTTATTGCTTGAGTGGAGGGAATCAGGAGCAGACTAGAATGCCAGAATGGAGGGAGGGATGGTAGGAGGAGGACTGTTGGAGAGGGGCTTTGGTGAATGCTTCTCCAATTCCAGAAATATCATACTGAGGCTCTGGAGTATGCCTGGCAGGTTTTTTGTTTGTTTGTTTGTTTTTGTTGTTGTTGTTTTGTTTTGTTTTGTAGTACTGAATCCAAAGGCATTCTACTACTGAGCTATATTCCTAGCCCTTTTTGTTTTATTTTGAGACCGGGTATTATTGTTGCCCAGGCTAGCCTCAAACTTGTGATCCTCCTGCCTCCCTGAGGTAGATAATAGGCATGCACCATCACACTCTGCGTGGTTTTTTTTTTTTTTTTTTTTTTGAGTCTGGATGCTGCTGTGTTGCCCGGGCTAGCCCAAACTCCTGGGCTCAGGTGATCCTTCTGCTTCAGTCTCTTGTGTAGCTGGGAATATAAACACACACCACCCTGCCAGACTGCCTGATACAAAACCATGGTTTAATCCTTCTGTCAGTTTTGAAAAATAACAGAACTTCTTTAAAACTATTGGGTGCTATCATATCTTTAGTGCTTCTCTAATATTTGCTTGTCTTTCTGTTTAACAAAAGTGGTTTAGCCTAAAGCCATAGCAACTTCTGGCTAGAATTTAATAGTTTCCTCTTGTATTTATTACTTAAGCTTACTATATTTATGTGAAACAATACTGGTTTAAGTGCAGAGAGGGGATGATTTAAAGGTAAAGTCATGTTCTATAGATAAGTGGACTGCAAGTGACTGGAGTTTAGGAAACCCTTCTCCAGTTCAAGGCTTCTTGAAGGGAAAGCCCTTCAGTATCTTGGAGGTTGGGAGGGAGGTTAGGTAAGACTTTGAGGCCCATCTATTCCAGAGGGAATTTCCTGACATGTCATCAAGGACTACTGAATTAGAAGACAGTTCTCAAACTAAATCATCAAGAGAAACTTAGCCAGGCATGTTGGTTCACATCAGTAATACCAGCAGCTCTGGAGGCTGAGGCAGGAGGATTGCAAGTTCAAAGCCAGGCTCAGCAACTTGGCAAAAGCCTGTTTCAAAATAAAAAATAAAAAGAACTGGGAATGTGACACAGTGGTAAAGTGAACCTGGGTTCAATCCCTGTTACATTAAAAAAAGGAACTTAAGGTATCAAAAAGTGTTCATGCATTACCTTAGAAGAGGTGGGGAAGAGTTCTTTGGTGAAATAAGTTTGGGAAGCCCTTTTCCCATTCACTGCATGTTAGCCTAGTCAAAGCAATTAGAGTGCTGGGGTTAGGAAACCTGTTTAGCTTTGTTTAGACTTCATTCGTCTTTGTAGTTTCAATACCTAGGACCTGCCAGACCTTCCAAAAACTGTGAGTGAATAACTGCAAAAATATAAATGAAGTGTGTGGGAAGGAAGTACTCAGTAGAAGCTTTAGGTATTCCACACTGGCTTGATTCATTCAATAAATGTGCAACAGATAACCTATACTTTATTCCTGGAAGTGTTGGATACTGATAACCTATACTTTATACCTGGAAGTGTTGGATACTGAGGTTACTGAAGTGTAAAAGAAAAAAAGAAAAGCCAATTTTGCCCTTGTAGAGCTTACATTCTAATTGGAGGAACACAATAACCAAAGAGAAAATGCCAGGACCATAAGTCCAGCATTGGGCAGCTGGCTATCAACATGGCAGAGGTTAGTAGAGGAGATGAGAAGTGCCAATGAGGAAGCCACCTTAACAGCAAGGGAGAAATCTAGAAGCTCAAAGGTAGGGGGTTGGGGGGCTGCTTAAAGATCCCTTTGGCATTACATCAAATAGTGTATGTGGTGTTTGTGTAGTTATTTGGCAAAATGTTTTAAAAGCTGTAAGGCCTACAAACTATAATTACCTCATTTGATCTTACAGCAGCCCTGTGGGCAGGCAGAGTCTGGATCATTATCTTCATTTTATAAATGAGGCCTCTCAGGCTCAGGGAGAGGAATGGACTTGCCCAGGGTCTTGCATTCAGTTAGTGATGGAGTTGGGTCCCAAACCCAGTGCTCTTGGCCCACAGCCTGGAACTTCTTGCTACCAGGCTGCCTGGGTGGGCCTGGATGTTGGAGGGATAACTGGAGTGAACTGTTGGGAGTGTGGGGATTGGTAGGCTCCATGAGAACTGAGGCTGAGGTCTCTGTCTCCCCCTTGTGCCCGGCAGGTGCTACGACAAACGTCTGTGGCCTAGAATGGACTTGAGCAGGAGGAAGTCACTGACCCCGCCCATGCTCAGTGGGGTAGTTCGTCGCCAGCCCCGTGCCCTGGACCTCAGCTGGACAGGTGTCTCCAAGAAACAGCTCATGTGGCTTCTGAACCGACTCCAAGGTAGGGTGGAGTGACAAGTCATAACAGGGTAGAAATGGGGACAGGCCTGGGGTGGAGTCTGGCTTCCTGACCCTCACCCCCACAAATCCTCTAGGCCTGCAGGAGTTGGTGCTCTCTGGCTGCTCCTGGCTCTCTGTCTCTGCCCTGGGCTCAGCCCCACTGCCAGCCCTGCGGCTCCTGGACCTCCGCTGGATTGAGGATGTAAAAGACTCCCAGCTCCGTGAGCTGCTGCTGCCTCCACCAGACACTAAACCAGGTGTGGCCTCTGTGTGCTCTTCTGTAGAATGGGTTGGGCAAGGTGGGGATATATACCTCTAAGGTCTCTTCTGACTCATTGGGTGTTACAATTATTGGAGGAACACATGAATTTGAATAGGAAAGCCATCTTAGCTATCATTCATTTGTTCATTTGCCTTCGGTGTGCTTTGAACTGAGTCTTGAAAGATTGGAGTTTTCCCAGGGTGTTTGAGGTATGATTAGCAGTTCAGTGGGGCAGGAGGCCCATATTGGCAGAGAGGCATACTAGGAGCAGAGGCCTGTGCATATTGGAGGTATGTGGAGTAGGGACACTGAGGCCTCAGGGCTTCTTGTAAAGTTAGCAGATGGGATACTTTTCTTTTCTGGCCCCCAGTTTCTTCTTTACAATAGACCCAGGGGAACTATCCAGAAGAGTACATCTGACCATATCACCCCTGTGCTCTAAACTCATATTGCTCCTCTCTTATCCCTTTGGATAAAGATAAGGGTTTTACTGTAGTTACTGAGACCTAGCATGGCTGAGTCCCACTAACCTAGGCCATCCCTGCATTTGGCCTCCTCAGCCACTTTGCCAAGTTCCTTTCAGTTCCTACTTTTCTTTGCCTCAATGTTCTGTCCTCCTTCATTTAATTAATACTTTAGACCTTGGCATAGATGCCACCTTCTAGAAATTCTCCCTGACCAACCCCACCTCACTCCTTGCCTTGAGCTCTTGAGTTCTTCTCAGCCTTGGAAACAGGCCCTGGCATAGTGCTGTACATGTGGGAAGTGTTCTGATTAAGATGATTCTTGCAGGGCTGGGGTTGTGGCTCAGTGGTAGAGCACTTGCCTCGCATGTGTGAGGCGCTGTATTCAATTCTCAGCACTGCATATTAGTAAACAAAATAAAGTCCATTGACAACCTAAAAAAAAAAGATTAAAAGAAGAAAAAAACAAGATGATTCTTCTAGCTAGTCTCTTAGGCTCTACAGGGTACCATGTGCTCAAAACCAGCACCTTGCTCAGTGGTCTGCTCAGCAAATATTTGGTGAGTGAATGAACTGAATGAGCACAGAGATGATCAGGATGCAAGGGAGAGATCTGGTTTGAGGAAAGGTTTCCAAAGGGAGATTTGCTGTGGCCTAAATAAGAAAATTAAAAGGATCTTCTTTTTCTAAGTTCTTTCACAGTTCTTTTTTTTGTGTGTGTCCCTTCTTCCTGCCCCACCATGCTCTTCAGTAGCCCTGGAAGGAGAATAGGGAAGCAACTAGGATTCTTCCCATTTTGTGGACAAGGCTCTAGAGGCCTATTTGATTCAACAAGGAGTTGAATGACTGATGTAAGTCAGGCAGAGCCAGGCCAGAGCACTCACCCATGGTCTGCTCTTACTGGAATTGAACTGAGCTGGGACGATTTGGGCAGGAGGGTGAGATGGGCATTGGGAGCAGTTTGTTCTTTGAGGTGAGAAAGTGCTGGCTGATAGAGCAAACCTTCCTCTCCTGTCTTATTCCCTTTATCAGGAGTATGCAGAAAAGAGCTTTCTTGGCTGTCAGTCCAGTTGTGCAGGTTAGGATTTCTCCCACCTTTCCTCTCATGGCTTCCTGGCTCCCTGTACCATTCTCACAGCAAAATATAAAGTTCTTTTACTTCTAGGCTCTTGCCTAGTGTATTCTTCGAGTTATTGCCTGGTATATTCTTTTCTTATCTTGCTGCATGTTCAAACCCTCGAAGACCCAGCTTAAATGCCACCACCTCAGGGAAATCCTCAGTGATGCCCACACTTGCCCCTAAGCCAGAAGTGATCTCTTTGATCTAGTGCCCTTTATCTGTGGCACAAGTTTGGGAGTTTTTATAAATATACCTCCCTCTCTAGGCTCTCAGCTCTCCAAAGACAGGAGGAGAGGGTAGAATTCAGGACATGCCATATGGAGTGCCTACAGAGGTGGTCTGGCAAGTAGCAGAAGTGACACATTGGTGCAGGACTTTTGGGAGTGGCACTGGCAGCCCTATTCTAGCCAATTACTGTCAGGCAGGAAGGGTAGTAGCCTAGTGATGCCAGGTCAGTTTTTTAAGGAAAAGCTCCACATCTAAATTTCTGTATAAAAATATCCTTTTTGTAGTGTTAGACATTCATGCAAGAAAAGTTTTAGCACCATGCAGATTCCATAAAGTTTGGAGGTTGGTTTCATGAGTCTGTGGCATCTGATGGAGTCTCTCTCAGTCAATAGATCTGGGTCTCCTGGCTCTTACTTCATAATTATGTGATGACAGCTTTATGATCTGAATCTCAATTTTATATATATATATATACGTTGTAGATGGACACAATACCTTTATTTTATTTTTATGTGGTGCTGAGGATTGAACCCAGTGCCTCACACATGCCAGATGAGCACTCTACCACAGAGCCACAGCTCCAGCCCTCAATTTTCTTATCTGTAAACAACAATAATGATCAGCTTCTCTCCCAAGGCTCAGGTTCTTAAAATGTGGTCTATGGCCCAGTGGTCTCAGTGTCACAGGAAAATTTGTCAGCAAAGTAAACCCCAAGTCCTTACACTAAATCTACTGCAACTCTGGAGTAGGGTCAGCAATCCAGTCCTCCAGGGGACTTGAGCCTCTTGAGTTTGAGAGCCAGTAACATGGAAGAAAGGCATATTGGGTGCTTTGGGTGCAGTGGGGAGGGATGTGAGCTCTTCTCAGTGGAGATAGAGAAGAGGAAGCCTCTGAGCTCTGAAAGCCAGGCAGTATGCTAAACAGAGGTGGTCTTAGGAGTAGGACCTTATAGAAATTGGGATGTTCTTCCAAGGAGACTAGACTTCTTTGAAGTGCCCTCACAGTTTCTTTCTTTCTCCTTTTTTTTTTTTTTTTTTTTGTGGTGCTGGGGATTGAACCCAGGGCCTTGTGCATGCAAGGCAAGCACTCTACCAACTGAGCTGTATCCCCAGCCCAGCCCTCACAGGAAAGATATTGTCACATTTGAGTTTGAGATCAGCTCTCTGGATTCTAAAAAGAAGAGAGTAGAGGGAGTGAGGTAGTGGGAGCAGTGCAAGCAAGAGTGGTATGGACCTAGTGGTATGCCCTGGAGGGCTCCACAGGGCAGCTTAACTAATTATGGAGAAATAAGAGGGAGGTGAGCCTGGAGTGGTAGTCCCTTTAGGGATGTTATGTGTTGGATGAATGGGTGAAATTATATTGAGCACCCTAGCACCCTATTGTGTGTTTCATTGCTGGGGATAGAGCAGTGAGCAAGAATTCCTTCCTGGGAGTGCTGGGATTATGGCTCAGTGGTAGAGTGCTTGCCCAGCATGTGTGAGGCACTGGGTTTGATTCTCAGCACCAAACATAAATAGAAATAAAGGTTCATTCACAACTTTAAAAAAAAAAAAAAGCTGTCATGGAACTGACATTTTTGTGTGGGGGAGAAAAAAATTAACAAGAAGAAATTAATGTGTCAGATACTGAGAGGTAGGAAATAGAGTACTCATGGAAAACCTCAGTGACAAGGTGATGTGAGCAGTGGACAGATGAGATCAGGGGTGTGGTGGTTTGGGAGAAGAGCAAGCCATGCATAGAGTACAGCAAGTTGGGGCCCCCATGTGATGGGAGCAAGTTTAGGACGGATGTTAAGGAACATGGAAAAGGAGACAGTCCTCTGGGTGCAACGATGGTAGTGGCCAGGAGTACTGATATCTCCTTTGCCTGTCCAGGGCAAACAGAGAGCCGTGGGCGACTACAGGGCGTAGCCGAACTGCGCTTGGCAGGTCTGGAGCTGACAGATGCCTCCCTGAGGCTCCTCCTGCGCCATGCACCCCAGCTGAGCGCCCTGGACCTGAGCCACTGCGCCCACGTTGGGGACCCCAGTGTCCACCTCCTCACAGCTCCCACTTCTCCACTCCGAGAGACCCTGGTACACCTCAATCTTGCTGGTAAGCATGGTTGCCTGTTCATCTTGCTAGGCTGTTGGTTCCCCTGGTCAGTGCCTACTACCTACTTACCTACCAGGTCTCAGCTGCCACTGCTGTGTCCCCAGGTTGCCACCGCCTCACGGACCACTGCCTCCCGCTGTTCCGCCGCTGCCCACGTCTCCGCCGACTAGACCTGCGCTCTTGCCGCCAGCTCTCACCTGAAGCTTGTGCCCGTCTGGCAGCTGCCGGCCCTCCTGGTCCCTTCCGCTGCCCAGAGGAGAAGCTACTTCTCAAGGACAGCTAGTCGGGCGCCCCCCACCATCCCCCAGGACTCGTCAGGAGCCTGGACCTCGAGCCTTCATTTCATCCTCTGTTGGGAGGCCAGGTTACCCACCTCATGACTTGGGATTCCTGAGTTTCGTGACTTGGGATTCCTACCCAGGGACCGGAGCCAGCCTCCCGCTTCTCTTCCCCCTGCACTGATATCTCTGGGGGTCTCTCCTTCCCATCTCCTCCCCCTTCCACTTGCTTCATTGTCCATCCCCTGGGGGAAGTGGGTCAGAGGTACTGGGGGGTGCTGAGCCAAAGGGATGGTGGGAGGGGGGTTAAGGTGCAAGTTTGAGGGAGGGAGAATGGGGAAAGGGTATCTACACACAGGATACTGGGAGCCAGGGGGCTGGGGGAGGTGGAGGATGGGTGGGTGGCGGGGCAGAAAGAGACCACCAAGGGTTCAGAGAACAAAGACCAGATATTTGGAGTGGGGGGTGGGGGGCCAAAAAGGGAAACTGGAGGAGCAATTGGGGATCCAGGTATCAGAGGTAGGGGGACTTGGGGAGCAAGAGGAAAGCCAGGGCTGAATGGGGGTTGGGGGACAAGAGCAGGTTGGGGCAGTAGTACTCCTCCCTCATGGGAGGGTTACCCCTCTTCTTTCCTCCTGCCCAAATTTGAGTTCCTTCCCTTTACTCTGACTCCTTGAACGTCACTGAAAATGGCAGCTATTGCGAGGAGTGGGGGCCACGGGTCTACCCTCTGTTCAACTCGTGGCCCAGGGGAGTGGTGAGGGGTGCCCCAGCCCCCTGCCTGCCTCTCCGCACAATACTTGAACATTCATCTGTACTGAAGTGTTACTTGAACCGGGGGAACCTTGGACCTGGGGGAGCCGAAGTGTGATTGGATGGGACCAGCTTGGACTGAGACTGAACTGGTGGGCACCCAGAGTGGACTGCACCACCTCCAGATATCTCTGGCTTTACTGTCTTGAGCAGCTCTACCCCTCCTGACCCGAGTTGGGGGTGGTGGGTGCCAGCCCAATGATGGGGAAGATGGGACTCCTCCAGCTTGGCTCTTCCCACTCTTTCATCGTCATGGAAACTTGTATCCCATTCGCCCAGGGAACTGCCACTCCTGGTTGCCATGGAAATAGCAGCCAATGGACACCTCCCGATGCCAGTGCTAAGGCTGGAAATGGCCCCTCTCAGTTGCCATGGGAACTTAGTAACAGACTCTTTTTGGTCCTCCTCTCCACTGCCCCTTCCTCCTGTGTTGGAGTGGGGTCTTGGGAGCCAGAGGGAGGAGCTGGGCCAGGTTCCGCCCCTCAGTCCAGGCCTCTGGGGGCAGCCGGGTTGTACTATGTAGGGGAGGGGGAAATCTATCCACATACCTCAGGTAACAGGGAGGTGCGCGGGTGGGGGGAGGGACTGGGCGGACCAAAGGCCGAAGGGGAGGGGGGCCTGGGGATGGAAAGGCTTGAGGATTGGGCCGTTTGGGGGGGGGAGGAGGCAGCCCGGCATGGGACGTGTTGGGGACCCAGCCGGGCTGGGCCCCTGGGCCCCAAGTCTGTACAATATGGTTTGCTATAAAACTCAAAATCTTCCAGCCGGGGCCACCGTGTTCATGTTCGCGTGTGTGTGTGTTTTTGGGGTGTCGGGGGAGAATATGGGTAGGGTGAGGATGGCCAGAAATCCGTTCCTTGGGGTTCTTGGAGGAAGGCCTTTGGCTAGATCTGAGAGGGTTCCTGCATAACGGAGTCACCTTTCCCGACTTAAGTGTTTAGGTTGGGGGAGTGGGGGCTTGGCGGTCTGGACACCTCAGAATATCCAGGTATACCTAGGAGTGATCCAGGGCCCAAGAATTCCCAGTTATAGAGAGGAACTGAGGGTTCACCTGGATCGGGTTCGGGCGCATGGATATCTTTGGTGGGCTGGGGTCCCCCAGATCTTTCCCTTCAGGCCAGGGATTGCGGGGGCTCGGTCCCCCGGCTCCACCCCATCATGTGGCCGCCCCGGCTCCGCCTCTGCCCCAGTTCCTGTTTCGGCCTCTGCAGACGTCCCACTTCGGCCCCTGGGGCTCCCCGCAGACGACTCTTCTGCTCCGCTGGGGCCGCCTCTCTGGGAGCCCGCCCGCCTGCATCCGCGCTCACCCCGCCGGGGGATGGGGCCTCTCCGCTGCTCTGACCGGCCCTTCTGGGGTCCCCGAGGTGCCTTGGCCCCTCCCTGACCGCCCGGCGCTACTGGTGCCGCCGCCCCCAGGATGAAGGGCGGCGAGGGAGACGTGGGCGAACAGGCCCCGTTGAACCCGGAGGTCGAGAGCCCGGCGTGCTCGGCCACGTACCGGGAGTTCGTGCACCGCGGTTATCTGGACCTTATGGGGGCCAGTCAGCACTCGCTGCGGGCGCTCAGCTGGCGCCGCCTCTACCTCAGCCGAGCCAAGCTCAAAGCCTCCAGCCGCACATCTGCCCTGCTGTCAGGCTTCGCCATGGTGAGGGGCGGGAAGGGGCACGCGGGGAGTGGGGTGGGGGGTGAAGCACGTGGGGGGCACCGGTCGGAGGTGAAGTAAATGGCTCCCCAAGGAATACAGGGAAAAAGGAAAGGGAAGGATGGACTTTAAGAGCCAAAGGGGAGAACAAGCAAGGTCCCAAATGACTGAAGAAGTGTCTTTATATTGGGGGAAGAGATATAAACAGGACCCTAGTAATATAAACCGGACCATGGGGAAGATTAGTCCTCTAGGTGTCGTGGGAGAAGGGGTTAACAAATCAATGACAAATATGCAACGATGGAACAAAGTGGTCCCAAAGGAGCATATTTCCAGCAGAAATGGTTACTAAGTCCTCCTGACTAGGTTCAAAGGCAAATTAGAGCTGGATGCGGTCTGTATCAACACGGCCAGGGGGTCTGGAAGAATGAACTGTGTGGAGAGGTCACCCAGCTGAAGGAAAGCCCATCCCAGGAAGGAGGCAACTCCCCGATAGGGGCAAAGAGTGCTAGATTTCGTCCAGGAAAACTCTGAGAAGAGATGATGCCTGAGGATGCCGCTGGGGAAGGAAACTGATCAGGAAGCTGATAAGCGATTCTAAAGCTGATAAACTGCAGGTGTGGGAGGATGATGTCAGCTAACGGTCCCACAGTGGCCTCAGGAAGTGGGACTGAGGGTGGTCCCAGGGTGCAGAGTCAACATAAGTCCTGTTCCTCCCTGGGTATGGCCAGCTGTGTAACCATGGACAAACCTCCACTCCCTGAACAGCCAGTGGGAAGTTGTGAGATCATGGAGGGTGCGTCCTCTGTAGCCTGCTAAGTGCCTGCCCAGGATGAGCTGAGATTCTTGTTATTGGGAACTCTAGATCCAGGCGTGTCAGAGCAAGACCTATTCACCAGAGGTGGCTCAGACCAACATGCTAATTGGACAGGTAGAAAACTGAGGCTCTGCCAAGGGCAGTCAGCAGGGGAAGGGTATATAGAATGCAATCCTATTAATCCAGGGTTCTCCCCCACCTTCATTACAGGAAGCAGGGGGTCCTTGGGGAATGTGCTCCTCCTGTGTATGTGGACACCAGAAGGAGCTGAGATGGGGTCATATCCCTAGGTGATTTGGGTTAATCCTTGCCCCTTTCTGTGCCATAGCCACTGGATTTGAATGGTGATAGGGAAAATCTGTAACTTTAAGGGTCATCCCAGACCTAGTTGTTTCATGGGGGATGTGGGGAGGGGGTGTTGCAGAATCCAAAGATTTGCTCACCTTCCTGATGGGGATGACATCTTGGAACAGGGAGTTAGCTCCCCTTCATCCGTATGGACTACAGAAGGAGGGACGCAGCCACCCATGGACCTAGCTGAGGAAAGTGAGCCCTATGTTCCAACTTGTTCCCAACAGGACAGTCCAGTCTGGTGTGCTGCAGGACTTGCAGATTGCTAGGGTGACACTTAAGGGTCAGAGCTTTCTCTTCAGGATAAGGAGGCTGGATGTGTAGGTTCTAGGGGCAGGACTGGCCCCAGTCCTGGCAGGGGAGATCAATCCTGGGCCAGACCCTGGGAAAAACCAGAACTAAGCCTGGCCCAGATCCCTGTTTGTGGAAAACACCTGCTGACATCTGCCATGGCCCAGTTTCCTAAAATACTCAGGCTTGTCTTCCTACCATCACCTGCCAGGCTCTGCACCTTCCTTTTCCTTCTCCTAGCCCCAGAGCAATCCTTTTTTTTTTTTTTTTTTTTAGAGAGAGAGAGAGAGAGAGAGAGAGAGAGAATTTTAGTATTTATTTTTTAGTTTTTGGCGGACACAACATCTTTGTTTGTATGTGGTGCTGAGGATCGAACATGGGCCGCACGCATGCCAGGCGAGCTCGCTACCGCTTGAGCCACATCCCCAGCCCCACCAGAGCAATCTTAATGGATCCTATAAGAACTAGGAGAGAGGAAAGAACCAGATTACAAAACCCAGGTTGCCTGAGTTAAAATAACATTATTGGGATTGTATTCAACTGTCAACTAAGTACCAGGTACTGTGCCCAGAACTTTTCATGTGCATTCTTTATTTTGCCCTGTGAAAGATGTATCACCATTACGGCCATTAATTTTATTTTATTTTAGTTATAAAATTAGTTATAATTTTATTTTTGTTTAGTTATAGGACAATATTTTTATTTTTAATTTTTTTAAATATCTTTATTTTTATTTTTATGTGGTGCTGAGGATTGAACCCAGGGCCTCACAAGTGCTAGGCAAGCACTTTGCCGCTGAGCCACAATCCCAGCCCAATACGTTTATTTTTTATGTGGTGCTGGGGATCAAACCCTCACACATGCTAGGCAAGCACTATACCACTGAGCTACAACCCCAACCCTATGGCCATGTAGCAGACAAGGTCAGAGATGTTAGGACATTTTCCCAAGGCCCCATAACAAGTAAAGGGCAGGATTTGGACTAAACAGTCTGGCTCTATAGACCAAGAATGTTTGGGTTTTGTTTTTTTGGTACAAGGGATTGAACTCAGGGGCACTCAACCACCGAGTCACATTCCCGGCCCTATTTTATATTTTATTTAGGGACAGGGTCTTACTAAGTTGCTAAGCTCCTTGCCATTGCTGAGGCTGTCTTTGAACTTGCAATCCTCCTGAGTTTTAAAAGTAGGCCACTTTTTCATGTTTTTAAAAAGCACACTGTGTGAGCCAAGAAAACATGTTTGCAAATTGGTGTGGTATGCCAATTTGCAAACTCTAACTTTGGACTTTAGCATCAACTATAATAATAACAGCAAACACTTGCCTAGTGGTTACTGTGTGCCCAGACACTATTCTTAGCACTAGATGTGTATTGTCTCATTTAATTTCTCCAAAAACCTTATACATACTATTAGCAATCTCCATTTTCCAGATAGGAGTTTGAGCCACAGAGAGAACTAAATCACTTGCTGAAGATTCCACAGCTGGCTAGGTATGATGATACACACCTGTAATCCCAACCAATCAAGTAGGCGGTCGAGGCAGAAGGATCACAAGTTCAAGGCTGGCCTGGGCAACATAGTGGGATCCTGCCTCAAAATAAAAAAATAAAAAGAGCTGGGGATGTGGCTCAGTGTTATTGTGCCCCTGGGCTCAATTCCCAGTACTGCAAAGAAAAAAAGAAGGAAAGATTACACAGTTTGTAGGTCAAGAATGAACCTAGGGGCTGGGGATGTGGCTCAAGCGGTAGCGCGCTCGCCTGGCATGCGTGCGGCCCGGGTTCGATCCTCAGCACTATATACAAACAAAGATGTTGTGTCCGCCGAAAACTAAAAAAAAATAAACATTAAAAATAAATTCTCTCTCTCTCTCTCTCACACACTCTCTCTCACTCTTTCTTTAAAAAAAAAAAAAAAAAGAATGAACCTAGGCAGCCCAGAGTCTATGTTTTCTAAACCCTGTTATAACCAGGTAAAACTGTCAGAAACATGTCATCCAGCCCTCTTAATAGGTAGGTAGGGAAACCAAGGCACTGCTCTAGGTCCTAGGGATATAGCAGTCATGGGTCCTAACAGCCACAAAAATTCCTTTACTGTCAAGGAAGTTATGGGCACTCAATCCATCCCCTCTTGTGCCCACAGGTGGCCATGGTGGAGGTACAGCTGGAGAGTGACCATGAATACCCACCAGGCCTGCTGGTAGCCTTTAGTGCCTGTACCACCGTGCTAGTGGCTGTGCACCTCTTTGCACTTATGGTCTCCACATGTCTACTGCCCCACATTGAAGCCGTGAGCAACATCCACAACCTCAACTCTGTTCACCAGTCACCACACCAGCGACTCCACCGCTATGTAGAGTTGGCTTGGGGCTTCTCCACTGCCTTGGGCACCTTTCTCTTCCTGGCTGAAGTTGTCCTGGTGGGCTGGGTCAAGTTTGTGCCCATTGGGGCCCCTCTGGACACATCGGCCCCCATGGTACCTACATCCCATGTGTCTGGGACTCTGCCACCAATGGCTTCCTCCCTTGGTCCAGCTTCCAAACTCCCACCATCCTCAGCTTCTGTAACCCCATCACAGGTTGAGCCTTCTGAGGCCTGCCCTCCCTGGCAGGTATGTGGTAGTAATGGTGGGGTTCATGGACCAGGCTGGCAAGCAGCCATGGCCTCCACAGCAATCATGGTACCTGTGGGCCTTGTGTTTGTGGCCTTTGCTCTACATTTCTACCGCTCCTTAGTGGCCCACAAGACAGACCGCCACAAGCAGGAGCTAGAGGAGCTGAGTCGCCTGCAGGGGGAGCTGCAGGCTGTGTGAATCTAATGTTAGTCTCTGCCGTGTGCACTGCCTCCCTCAGGGCTCTGCAAGAGGCCACACGGGCCTATAGACCATTCCCCACTCCTGGAGGGAGCCACTTCCTGTGGCCACTCTCAGGTAGAGACCAGACTTTTGCCCACAGGTTCTCACATTCCCAGGGATTTTCCCTGTCAGTCTGTCCCATGGTTTTTGTAAGCTCCACTCTATTAATGTCCAAATCTGGGAAGAACAAGCGTGAAAGTGAAACGTTCTCAGTACAAGGATCCTGGGGTAGATACAGGGAGGCAAGGAGACCCTAGAGGGATGTTTGGTGCTGACCTTCAGCTGCTCCTTTAGAGGACATGGAGATCAGAAGGTCACAGACCTACACAGCTGCCCCCAAAGGCCATCAACCCCTGCTTCAATTGTGTAGAATGTAATTTGCAGTTGGCATTTTTAGGGAAAATTTCCCCTGTACCCAGATTTTGATGGGTTCTACATTCTTGCTTTGGTGACTGTAGAGGGATTTTGGTGTTTCTGTGACAGATATAAGCCCAGGCCTTCCTAGGAAGAGCCTATTTTTGGATTCAAGCCCACGCTCCACTGTTGACCTGTGGCCACTGGCAGAAGGGGGAGACCTTGCCTCACTGCCCTAGGCCCATACTTACATGCCTGTAAGGGGGGGGGGGCGGTTCTCACCCTCCTGGCCCCTGGCTGGGGGTTCTTGGAAGACTGAGGGCCTGTGCACCCAGTCTGACTCCTTAGCAGGGACTGGGTGAAGAAGTTTTAATGGAGAAAATCCAGTCCCCAGCCCCCAGCCCTTGGAATGAGAGCTCTTTAACACTTAATTTTTGATGCACCTTGTTTTGTACAATAAATTGTTTTACAGATGTCCTGGTGGCTGTGAATTGGGTGAAGGGCAAGCCTTCTTGGGGTAAGATTACTTGTTCCTAAGACCAAGTGGAGGCAAGTGTGCCTGGTGGGAAAAGGGTTCCAGGTAAACCCCTATCAGGAGCTAACAAAGGCCAGTTGCTCCTTAATTTGGAGATATTCCAAGGTTGAAGGCCTTTGATCCACTGTTCCTGAGCTTAGGGTCTCTATCTCTTCTATGGAGAATTTCATGTAAGTTTTTGCATGACTCCATACTATATTCTAGGAACTTTATAAATCATCTCATTTAACCCTCACAACCACCTCAAGAGACAAAAATCTATCACTTCCATTTCAGAGATAAGAAAGCTGAGGCCCAGGAAGGCTGATGATCTTGCCTAAAGCCACATAGCTTATCAGGAAAATTGAACTTGAATTACCTTATAGTAACATCACATGAGAATCTCTTTCTGATGGAAAGAAGGAACCAATACCTTTCAACTGGGACAAAAAAAAAAATCTGATCTCATCTATGCCTCCATATAAACTAATGTTTCCAGCCTCATTTCCTTCAAATTTTAAGTCCTAATTCTCTGTCTTTTCTTGTGGTGGGAGACCTTGGACAAATCCCCCTTTTTCCCTTTCCTTATTGCTCAAAATGGTGAATGTGCAGCCCTTCTTGCACTATTTTGAAGACTACAATTAAGTCCTCTGTGACAGGAATTACCATCAATTTTTAGAGGAAGAATCTTAAACTTATGGAGGTCAGTGGCGTGCCCAAGGTCATACAGTGAGGAACTGCTGTATGTCAGAAGAGATGTCATAAGCTTAAGGCATCCTCCGTCATGCAAAAGGGCCTGGTGGGAGTTGCGGTTCCTCCAGAGCAAGGCTCCCATATTCACGCAGAATAGAGAGGGTGATCAGACTTAGGGAGGCCTCAGCTCCAAGGTCCCAGGTTACTCCTGGACTGATGCTGCCCTCAAGCGGTGAAAACCTGTGAGCATAGGGAAGCACAGCTGGAGAAAGCGGGAACTGGAACCATTGATGTTTGTATTCCTGCACATTCTTTATTTTTTACAGGAGCCACGTAAAGTCCTTTAGGCCCTATTTAGGCTTATCCGAGAACCCCGAGACTAGCTCAGATTTAACCATAGAGCTGGGTTAAGCACAGCAAAATGCAGCACTTTCCGCAGGCCTCAGTCTCCCCATCTCTCAAGTGGGCAACTTAAAACAGAGGTCCAGGTGGAATAACGGGAAGAAAACCCGCGCTGCATGTATGTGGGGCCAGGCAAACTATCTGAGTCACCGGTCCTCGTTGTATTTTTCCACCTCCCGGTTGGCGGGGTTCAGCAGGTCCTACAGGAAGCTCCCCCGCGACGCCGGGCTTCGCACGCCCTGGCCACGCCCCTCTGCGCGCGGAGGCCTGACCCCGCCCACAGAAGGATCCGCAGATTCGCTAGACCCGCTCCTCTGCTGAAAATTCTCATCGGACTCTGAGAAGACCCTTTGCGTTGTCCATTTCCCTCTGGGTCGGAAGTGGGCTGTCCCCTGAGTTGTGCTAGTACGAAAGATCCAGAAAAAGTGGCTGACCCTGTCAACAGGGCCGGGCTAACCAGGCGTTATTTCCTTGACTCCACGAAGGCGGGTGAAGGGAGGCGACGGCTGAAGTCAGGAACAGTGGCGAATCTGCAGCCTCTTAGATCTTTGGCCGCGCAAGGAAGGGGCCGGGAAGAGGAGCAAAGGAGCACGCATCCTGTCCACCAATTCGCCCCGCCCGCCTGACGAATCTGCGTCTGTTCAACGCGCCACTCAAAACTCCCGAGCTCTGGCTGGCCTCCTCCCCTTCGCCCCGCCCCCTTTTCCTCAGGGATTAGTCGCAGCTTTCGTCGCCGCTGATTCGTTAAGAACCCCAGTCTGGAGCAGCTGGATAGTGGTGGTGAAACCCACTCTCCGGGGGATGCGGCCAATCTCCAGGTTCCTTGGGCCACAACTCCTGAGCCATACAGGGCGCCGGCCGAGGCAGGGTCGCTACCCTCGGACCCGTGGATCTCCAGGCAGCGCCTGTGACGAAAGTGCGAATGCAGACGCTGTGCCCTCTGAGCCTCGCGCAGGTGGCGGTGGTGTTTGGTGCGCGCGCCGGGGAGGTGGTGGTGGGGGGGCGCCGCCGCCGCCACCGCTGCGGGGCCGGGTCTCGCGCTGCCGCCGCCGCCACCGCCGCCTCGCGCCGCTGAGGTGCCGCGCGGGGTGGGGGGAGGGGGAGCCGCTCGCCACGAGCGGGTGAGTAGGGCCGCGGCGCGCGTGCGCGGAGACCGGGGGGGGTGCAGAACGCGCCGGGGCGGGAGGAGAGGGCAGCGGCGCGCGTTCCCCCCACCCCCCCCGCCCGGATTCGGGGCTGAAGCCGGGTCTCGGGCTCGGTCTCGCGGTGTTTCCAACGCCCCGAAGAGGTGCCACCTCTCGGCCAGAGGATCGGGGCGCGGGGACGGGAGCGGCTGTGTGGGAGCGGGAGCCGGGCTTGGCCCGGGCCGCTGGCCGGTGAGGAGGCGTGAGGGGGCGGGGCCTGCCAGGGGGCGGGGGAGGGGTCTTGCGCCGAGGCCAAGTGGGGCGCGCGCTGGGGAGAGCGGGAAGGTAAGGGGGCGCGAGATGGGCTTGGGGGCCTGAGGGTAGAGTTGGGAGGTGGAGAGAGAATGGGGTGTTGTGGTGAGACAGGGTACTTGGGGCAAAATCTGAGGGAGCCACGGGGTCTCGGTGAGGTGTGGAAACTGGAGTGATGAGAGAACCTGGAATCTGAGCTAGCCAATGAGGGGACAGCAAGGGAGTCAGGCCTAAGTCCTGGACCCTCTTTGCGTATCCCTCTTTTCCTAACAGTGTAAATGAGCAAAGATGGATCAAGAAGGTGGGGGAGATGGGCAGAAAGCCCCGAGCTTCCAGTGGCGGAACTACAAGCTCATCGTGGATCCTGCCTTGGACCCTGCCTTGCGCAGGCCTTCTCAGAAGGTGTACCGCTATGACGGAATCCACTTCAGTGTCAACGTGAGTGCCCCAGGGCTTCCCTTGCTTTCTAGGGGACTCTAGGGCCCCCTTTTCTCTCTTACTCCTTTCAGCACCTAGAGCTCCCATACTCAGAGCTTGCCTTCTCAAAAATGAGCAGGTGACCCCAGCTCTTTAGCATCATATGGGTCCTCAGATGGGCCTTTTAGAGCGCAACAATTTGGCTTCATCCTGAGCTGTGTTTCTGTTCCTACTTTCCTTACTAGGACTCAAAGTATATACCAGTCGAAGACCTCCAAGACCCCCGTTGCCATGTCAGGTCCAAAAACAGAGACTTTTCCCTCCCAGTCCCTAAGTTTAAGGTAGGTGTCTCCTGGTATGGTGGCCTTTGGAGGGTGTGGAGGATCCTGGCACTGTAGTCTTTACAGAGCCTGATAAAATGGATATTCCAGTAAAAGACTGACAGCCAGATATGACAGCTTCTGGGTCTGTGAGGCTGGGATGTTCTGGACAGGAGGTACACTTGTATAGTTGTGGTGTCTCAGGTGTATCTCTGGTGGCAAGGCTGTTGAATTCTTGAAAGATGAGGTAAGGACAGGTTTAGCTGTCATGTCTGTCACTGTGTATTTCTAGACATGACAGCAGGAAATCCCAGTTCTTCAGCAATTAAGGGGAGTGACAAGACCACTGCCCATGTTCTTCACCTCTCATTTGGCCATGTGATCCTCCATCTTGTTTCCTAAGAGCATTTCCATTTTCCAATCCAAGCAGAGTACTCACCAGGCCTTGAACTGAGCTTAGAAAACTGGTGGTTCTAAGTTTTTGTCTTAATTATTTTTCCTTCACTAGTTTTCTTCTTTCTAGGTAGTTTATAGAGTCCCTTCACCCTTTTTTTCCTTGGTGTACTTTTTCTGGATAATCCCTATAGCTTTGACTATTACTTCAGCATTAATGATTTCCAAATATGTTTCTAGTCAACATCAATCTCGAACTCTACACTTGTGTGCCCTGTAGGGGACATCTCCGTCTGGAGGCCCCGCAGACATGTCAAACTCAAGAAGAGATTTAAAACAAATCTCTTTACCTCTCAGTCCTATTCTTCCTTCATTTTCTCTACTGATAAATGTAACACCATTTCCTTACCCGCACAGACTGGAAATCTAGGAATTAACCAGCAGTTTTTCTCTTAATTTTTAAATTCCTGTTGCCATTTCCTTAATGTGGACCCTTGTATTCATTTCACTGGGTTTCCTTGTCTCTGTGCTTCACTCAACTGCTCTGTCCTGCTGACAGTTGACTCTATGCTAGGGATGTGGCTCAGTGGTTAAGAGAATAGTAAAGAGATTTTACTATTCTCTTATTTTACTTTTGTTGCCAAGTCTGTTTTTGAGCATTAGCATGTATAGTGATTGATCTGGCCAAGCCTTATCCTCTGCTTTGACATCTATCTTTTCATACCCTATAATTTGTAATTTTTATAAATACCAAGTCTTTCCTAACAATCTTATTTGTTTATTTACATATTGTGTTATTCAACCTAGGGCCTCACACATATTAGGCAAACACTAAACTATATCCCCAGCCCTTTTCATTTTATTTCAAGATAGTGTCTCAGTTGCACAGACTGGCCTTGAACTTGTGATCCTTCTGCCTTTATCGCCTGAGGAGCTGAGAGTATAGAAGTGGCACCTCTGTGCCTATTTGCTTATTTTTTTGAGATGGGGTCTTGCTCTGTTGCCAGGCTGGCCTCAAACTCCTAGCCTTAAGCAATTCTCCTGCCTCAACCTCCTGAGGAGCTGGGACTACAGGTGTATGCCACTGTGCCCAGCTGCCAAGTTGTTTTATAGTTCCACGTCCTAGAAGTCCTTGTTATTTTGGTAGACTCTGTGAATTCAGAAACCCATGAGTTCTTCCCTGATTCAACTCTGTATATAGGTTCCCTTCTTTTGGCTCTCAGAAACCATTTACACTCTTTCTGTGTCACTTTGTGATTGCGTATGTCTGTCCTGGCTACTTTTGTAAATGGGAATCTCTTTTTTTCCACCTTTGTATTTCTAAGTGTCTAGCCTATTATAGTCGTTAAAAGCTGAACTAGTGGATTATTTCCCTACAACCAGTTCTTTCCATGTGTATATTTCTATTCCTAGTTCTTGCCATTCTATAGTACAGGAATTCAGGGAGAGAAAGGTCAAGACTGATGTAGTCCTTGTTATGACCTCCTTCCCTTGCCCCTACTTCCAAGATATATCTCTCTTGAGTTCATGAAGCTTAGCTAAAGATTCTCAAAAGGCAAAGAAACAGTGATTAGTATAGAGATCTAAGACCAACTCTTGTCTTCTCCACAGCTGGATGAGTTCTATATTGGACAGATTCCACTTAAGGAAGTGACTTTTGCAAGGCTGAATGACAATGTGCGGGAAACCTTCTTAAAGGATATGTGCCGAAAGTATGGTGAGGTAGAAGAGGTAGAGATCCTTCTTCACCCCCGTACTCGAAAGCACCTGGGCCTGGCCCGTGTGCTTTTCACCAGCACTCGGGGTGCCAAGGAAACAGTCAAAAATCTCCACCTTACCTCCGTCATGGGCAACATCATCCATGCTCAGCTTGACATCAAAGGTGAGGGGCTTCCATGCCTGCTGCTCAAGGTTGGTCTTTATCATAGATTGTAAACTCACATGCTTGTTGGGATTCCTTTTCTGAAAGTCTTGGGGGCCAAATGTGTATTTAAACTGAGAATTTTTCAACTTTTAAAGAGGAATTATAGTCTGTGTATTATGCTTTCTTTGTATGTTGCCAGCATGGTTGGGATGGCACTTCATAGTTGCATGAATATCCATAAAAAATTTTAGCTAGGTGTGGTGTTGTATGCCTGTAATTCCAGTGATTCTGGAGGCTGAGGCAGGAGGATTGCAAATTCCAGGCCATCCTCAGCAATTTAGTGAGACCCTGTCTCAAAATAAAAAATTAAGGGGCTGGGGATGTGGCTCAAGCGGTAGCGCGCTCGCCTGGCACGGGTGCAGCCTGGGTTCGATCCTCAGCACCACATACAAACAAAGATGTTATGTCTGCCGAAACCTAAAATGTAAATAAAATATTAAAAAAAAAATAAAAAATTAAGGAAAAAGGGCTGGTGGTGCACACCTATAATCCCAGGGGCTGAGGCAGGAGGATCATGAGTTCAAAGCCAACTCAGCAACTTGGTGAGGTCCTAAGAAACTCAGTGAGACCTTGTATTTATTTAAAATACAAAAAAGCGTTGGGGAAATGCCTCAGTGGTTAAGTGCCCCTGAGTTAAATCCTCAATACAGGGAAAAAAAAAAAAAAAGAAATTAAAAAGAGGGCTGGGGATATAGCCCAATGATTAAAGTACCCCTTTTTTCCAGTACTGCAAAAAAGAAAACAGGAAACTGTAATGAAGCATAATACGTGGTAGGATGAATAAAGACTATAATAAATCAGGTTTGATTTTAATAACAAATTCTCAAAAATATTAGGTTTTCAAGCCGGGCACACTGACGCACTCCTGAAATCCCAGTGGCTCAGGAGGCTGAGGCAGGAGGATTGTGAGTTCAAAGCCAGCCTCAGCAACAGCAAGGCGCTAAGCAACTCTGTGAGACCCTGTCTCTAAATAAAAATACAAAATGTGGCTCAGTGGTTGAGTGCCCCTGAGTTCAATCCCTGGTACCCCCAAAATATTTTTCTAGATATTAGGTTTTCAGCCGGGCATGGTGGTGCTCACCTGTAATCCCAGCAGCTTGGGAGGCTGAGGCAGGAGAATCACAAGTTCAAAGCCAACCTCAGAATCTTAGCAAGGCCTTAAGCAACTTAGTGAGATCCCATCTCAAAATAAAAATTAAAAAGATCTGTGGATATGGCTCTGTGTTTAAGCATGTCTGGATTCAGTCGCTGGTACAAGGGGAAAAAAATTAAGTTTTCATTTTTTGGTTTAGTTTGGTTTGGATTTTGAAATTTTAGCCAGACGTGGTAGCACATGCCTGTAATCCTAGGGACTTGGAGGCTGAGGCAGGGGGCTCATAAATTTCAGGCCAGTCTTGGCAATTTTGTGAGACCCTAAGCAACATCACAAGACCTTATCTCTGAATAAAAAAATCAATAAAAGGGCTAGGGATATGGCTCAGTGGTTAAGCACCCTGGCTTCAATCCTTGGTACAAATAAATAAGGGCTGGGGATGTCGCACAGGGGTAGAACACCCCTGGGTTCGATCCCCAGTACCACAAAAAAATAAAAAGAAAGAATCATCTCTAAAGACAAAGCAGTCTGAGCAATAGGGAGGAGTGGAATCTGGTACACTGTATATATAACTATCTAAAAAGGCAGCTGTTAGCTGATATTAACCAGTTTGCAATGGGAATGAGGACTAACTTTGATTTTTCAAAGAAAAGTCAGTAACCTAGATTTTTATATGTAATCTGATGGTTTAAATGTTGCATCCCTTCCAAGATATTTTAAGTCATTCTACAAGGCAAATAAAATAGGTTTTGGGCTGGATTTAATCTTCAGGCTGCCATCCTGGAAACTTTAGTATATAGGATGATTTATCATCAGACAACCTGATGTTTATTTGAATTCCATTTCTTATATTGACTGATTTTGTGACTTTGTGCAGATCAGTTTGCTTTAGGTTTATAAAATAGGGATACTGGGGCTGGGGTTGTGGTTCAGCAGTAGAGAGCTCGCCTAGCATGTGCGAGGCCCTGGGTTCGATCCTCAGCACCACATAAAAATAAATAAATAAAGATATTGTGTCCAACTTAAAAAAAAACAGGGATACTGATTCTTCTCCTGTGAATCTTCTAGTGTAAAGGCTGGAATACGTAGAAGTGTATTTGTAAACTGCAAAGTGTCATAAAATATGTTACTTATAGCAGTGAAGAGGTGGAGATGAGGTAGCAATTTGCAGAGATAGAGACAAGGTAGGAAAACTGAAATCCCAGAACCCAAGACTCCAAGAAATTGTAGGAAGCTTGAAGCCTAAGAAAGAAAAAAGGACTACCAAATCAGAAAGAAGTTGTTACTCTTTCTGACTATTGTTTCCCATTTGTCTCCCTCCAGGACAACAACGAATGAAGTACTATGAATTGATTGTTAATGGCTCCTATACCCCTCAGACGGTGCCCACTGGGGGCAAGGCCCTGAGCGAGAAGTTCCAGGGATCTGGTGCAGCCACTGAAACGGTAAGAAGTTTGTGGTTGCTATAATCCTAACTGCTTGATTGCTAGGAGCAGGAGCCATCTTTGGAGGTTCTAGACCTCACTATCAAGTGTAGAAAGAACCAAGAAAAGATGCTTAAATGCTTTCAAGTCAGGGAACTATGATTCTTGGTTTGGGGCAACCAAGTTTTCAAATGGTGTTTTCATTTCTCCTTGCCTCCTCTCTCCCTCCAGACTGAGTCCCGCCGCCGCTCTTCCTCTGACACAACTGCCTACCCAGCAGGCACTGCTGTGGTGGGCACCCCTGGCAATGGCACCCCTTGTTCCCAGGACACAAGCTTCTCCAGCAGCCGACAAGACACCCCATCTTCCTTTGGCCAATTCACCCCTCAGTCCTCCCAAGGAACCCCCTACACATCTCGGGGAAGCACCCCTTACTCTCAGGACTCTGCCTACTCCAGCAGGTACAAAGCACACACTCTCTGGGGCTCCAAGCTTTCAAATTCCGGGACCTGCCTATGAGGAGATGTTCAAAGTCTGAGAGAAGTTGGAAATCATTTGTGCTGGTCTCTGAAAATTTAGCCAACTAATTGCTATCTTCAGGGGCCGTAGCTCAGTGGTAAAGTGCTTGCCTAGTATGTGTGAGGCACTGGGTTCGATTCTCAGCATAGCATATAAACTGACAACTAAAAAAATATTTTAAAAAATTGCTGTCTTCAGGGATGCTAATTGGCAACCTGGACATTTAGTTTTTTGGGTGGCAGTTTAATAAGGATTTGGGCATGAGAACCAGGATGGTTGGATTTGGTCATATAGAGATGAGCCTATAACTCTCCTACTTCTTCTCCAGCACCACTTCAACCTCCTTCAAACCCCGGCGGTCAGAGAACAGCTACCAAGATTCCTTTTCCCGCCGCCATTTTTCTGCATCTTCTGCCCCAACAACCGCTTCTACAGCCATCTCAGCTACCACTGCAGCCACCGCTTCATCCTCCTCTTCTTCTTCTTCATTGTCCTCATCTTCCTCATCATCGTCTTCTTCCTCGTCCTCTCAATTTCGTGGTTCTGACTCAAACTACCCAGCATATTATGAAAGCTGGAATCGCTATCAGCGCCATGCTTCCTACCCACCACGCCGGGCAACTCGGGAGGAGCCCCCGGGGGCCCCTTTTACAGAAAATACCGCTGAGCGCTTCCCACCTTCCTACACCTCCTACTTGCCCCCTGAGCCCAGCCGGGCCACTGACCAAGACTACCGGCCTCCTGCCTCAGAGGCCCCACCCCCTGAGCCTCCAGAACCTGGTGGAGGTGGGGGTGGTGGGGGGCCTAGCCCTGAGAGAGAAGAAGCTCGGACCTCCCCTCGCCCAGCCTCACCTGCCCGTTCCTGCTCCCCAGCCCCAGAGACCACTAATGAGAGTGTGCCCTTCGCCCAGCACAGCAGCCTGGATTCCCGAATTGAAATGCTGCTGAAGGAGCAGCGCTCCAAATTTTCTTTCCTGGCCTCTGACACAGAGGAGGAGGAAGAGAACAGCAGTACAGGCCCTGGGGCTAGAGACACAGGGAGCGAGGTTCCTTCTGGGTCAGGTCATGGGCCCTGCACACCCCCTCCGGCCCCAGCTAATTTTGAAGATGTGGCACCTACAGGAAGTGGGGAACCAGGGGCTGCCCGAGAGTCTCCCAAGGCCAACGGACAGAACCAGGTGAGGCTGGGGTCAACCAGGGGAGGTACTTGGTATCTGGGAGGCAGGGTTGGACCCTGAGGGAGAGGGAAGGGAATTAGAAAAGAAAAGGATCTGAGGAAAAGCCCAGGGAACAAACAGATTCTCTGTGACCCTCCTCTGCACCCCCACAGGCTTCTCCATGCTCTTCTGGAGAGGACATGGAGATCTCCGATGATGACAGGGGTGGTTCACCCCCTCCGGCCCCAACACCCCCTCAGCAGCCTCCTCCCCCACCTCCTCCACCTCCTCCTCCACCTCCTTACCTGGCTTCCCTTCCCCTTGGCTATCCTCCCCACCAACCTGCCTACCTCCTCCCACCCCGACCTGATGGGCCACCACCCCCAGAGTACCCCCCACCTCCACCACCGCCACCCCACATCTATGACTTTGTGAACTCCCTGGAACTCATGGATCGACTTGGGGCTCAGTGGGGAGGGATGCCTATGTCCTTCCAGATGCAGACCCAGATGTTAACTCGGCTTCATCAGCTGCGGCAGGGCAAAGGATTGACTGCTGCCTCTGCTGGCCCTCCTGGTGGGGCCTTTGGGGAGGCCTTTCTCCCCTTTCCGCCCCCGCAAGAGGCAGCCTATGGCTTGCCCTATGCTCTATATACCCAAGGGCAAGAAGGCCGTGGGGCATACTCTCGGGAGGCCTACCACCTGCCTTTGCCCATGGCAGCCGAGCCCCTGCCCTCCTCCTCAATCTCGGGTGAAGAGGCCCGGCTGCCTCCTAGGGAGGAAGCAGAGCTGGCAGAAGGCAAGGCCCTACCATCAGCGGGCACTGTGGGCCGTGTGCTGGCCACCCTAGTCCAAGAAATGAAAAGCATCATGCAGCGAGACCTCAACCGCAAGATGGTGGAAAATGTGGCCTTTGGAGCCTTTGATCAGTGGTGGGAAAGCAAGGAAGAGAAGGCCAAGGTAAGGGCCAGTGCCTAGGACTGGGCAATCTTGGACTTTAGTGGAAGAGGTAGAACTCTGGTTTTTGCAGGTCAAAGCAAGTGAAAAATGAGATAGCTGGCTTTTGGGGACATACTAGTTGGTCAGGGGAGTTTTAGTGGGGGCACAGAGCAGCAGACAAGAACAGACCTGAGCTAGAAGAGCTTCATCCTGGCTCTGTTGCTTACTTACAGTGGAAAAGGCCCTTAAATTTTTATTGTCCTCCGATTTTAGTTTTGCCATTTGTAAACTAGGAAAAATAGTAGCTGTTTCCTAAGGCCCATGAGCTAAGTGTGCAGACTTTTGAGGAAAATGTCTGTAAAGGAGTGGTAGAGGCATGACAGAGATGGTGTCAAGTGGAGGAACAAGTTAATGCATCTCTATTCTTGGAACCTGGGAAGAGTGGTCGTCAGGCAGAAGGGATCGTCTGAGTTTCGATCCCCCTTCTGTCTGCAGCCATTCCAGAATGCAGCCAAACAGCAAGCCAAGGAAGAGGATAAAGAGAAGACAAAGCTCAAAGAGCCAGGCATGCTGTCCCTTGTAGACTGGGCCAAGAGTGGGGGTACCACAGGCATCGAGGCCTTCGCCTTTGGGTCAGGGCTGCGAGGGGCCCTACGGCTGCCTTCATTCAAGGTACCTTGAACTGTGATCTCTCTGAGTTGAGTGGGGAAGGGGAGCCTTCCATCCTTAGGGTAGGGGTGATTGGGAATTATGTGTGAGTTCTAAGTGGACCCTATGTCTTCCTTCTCACCCAGGTAAAGCGGAAAGAGCCATCAGAAATTTCAGAGGCCAGTGAAGAAAAGAGGCCACGGCCCTCCACTCCTGCTGAAGAAGATGAAGATGGTGAGAGGGAGATCAGGCAGAAAGAGAAAGGGAATGGGATATTTAAGAGAGGAAAAGAGCCAAGTGGAAATGTTGATATTGAGTTAAAATGAAAATAAAGCCATTCTGGGAGGTGTTAGAAGCACTGATAGGATTCTCCCTGGATCTTGGTTTGGGTCTTAACTCTGGTAGGTTGGCTTGAGTTTTTCGCCTACCACATGAAAATGATAACTTCAGTACTTGGAATCAAACCTGGAGGTTAAACAAGTCATCTACCCAAGTTTACTATCTTAATGTTCCCCTACAACCTTCCTCCCACTTTGTTGAAGTCTGAGCTATTGGTTAACAGCTTGTATAGCTGGGAAACTTCCTTATTGAGTCAGATCTACTTCCCAGGAAACCCACTGGCCTTAGTACTCTTTTCATGGGCCAGGCAGAACAAGTTGACTTGCTCTTGTTCTCCTAATGGAGAAAAGAATGAAAGATAAAATATGTGGCGGGTGTCTAAACTATAAAATATTAGGTAATTGTAAGGTGTTTGTGTTTCTTCTCTGAGCTTCCGCTTTCTATAACCTGAGGCTTGTTGGGAAGTTCAGCAGCAGTGTACAGAAAACTCTTTGTGTATGGGGTAGGGAAGTAGAAACATTACTGATGGGCATTTCCCTAAATTTCACTCACCTGACCTAGATCCCGAGCGAGAGAAGGAAGCTGGAGAACCAGGACGTCCAGGGTCCAAGCCCCCAAAGCGAGACGAAGATCGAGGCAAGACCCAAGGCAAGCACCGAAAGTCCTTTGCTCTGGATAGTGAAGGAGAAGAGGCATCCCAGGAATCTTCCTCAGATAAGGTGAGAGGTGCCAGGTTCCTGCCAGAAGCCTATTTCCTGAATCTTTATTCCTATGTCAGCTTCTCTCTGGGCTGGAGCCTAGGTCCTCATGGAGGACTAGTTGTTCCTTTCCTATTAGTCCTTATTCTTTTTGTTAAGGATGAGGAAGATGATGAGGAAGATGAAGAAGATGAAGATCGAGAAGAAGCTGTGGATACTGCTAAGAAAGAGACAGAAGCATCAGATGGTGAGCAAGATAGTGAGTTTTGTCTTAGGAAGAAAGGGATTCAGCCACATGGTTTGCCCTTTCTCGAGCCCACATAACCTTCCTGTTGATCATACTGGCCACCTTTGCTCTTTACAGTAGCAACCCTTTTTTTTTTTTTTTTTTTTTTTTTAATAAATGTGGTGCTGGGGATTGAACCCAGAGCCTTATGCATGCTAGACAAGCACTCTACCAACTGAGCTATATCCCCAGCCCTACAATAGCAACTCTTTCAGCCACATCTTTTGGAATCCTTGGCGCCCTGGAAACATTAACTCAAGTATTCAAAGGGATCTCTCCTGCTTGCTTCTTCTGAAACACAGCTCTTTTCTGAGGACAACTCAGCAAAGTGTTATTTTCCCAAGCCCCAGAGATAAGGGGGTCTTTATTCTCTTGCCCTTTGACGCTGTCAAACTGGACCCTGCTCTTCTTGGAAGGACCAGCCACCAAGCTGTGCCTCCCTCTTCCCCTCCTCATGACTGCCATCAACCAGTCAGTCCTCTTGTCTAATTAAACACCTGTTGGCTCCCAGTGTCCACTTAGATACATAGTTTAGTCTTCCTTTTCATTCATCCTTTCAGATATATATTGGGCCCTTCCTCTGTGCCAGATGTTTTAGGTACTTAAGACATGGCAGTGACCAAGACAGATATGGTTCTTTGGTTTGAGAGCTTGTTGGATGGGTGGCAGAGACTTGACAAACAAGTGAACAAATCCTCTCACTTCAAATAGAGATTATGCTTAGAAGACAAAATAGGGTAATGGGGCAGAGAGTAATAGGGTGGCAGACCTGGGGGAAGATTTATTGTTCTCTGTATGATGGTCAAAGAATAGCTCTGAGAAGTACCATTTCAGCAGGGACCAGGATGGGGAACATAATCTGAGGCTCTCCTTTACTGAAACAGAGGACAGGATTAGCTACTAAGGATGAGGGGTACAGATCACTACTTTTCATCAGTTTTACCTTCTGATGCTTCTTGAATTTGTCACCTGTTTGTTCCCACTGCTGTCCTTTCTTTCTTACATTTTTTAAGTAGTCTTGACTGATTTCTGTCTCTATTTCCATCCTCCTTTCTTTCCAGTTAATTTCCAAAATTACTTATGAAATTATCTTTTCTAAAATGTGCACCTAATCCTCTTCTCTCCATAGAGTCTTTTCCTGTTCCCTGTTTTCAACAATGTGACTCCTCGGACTGACAGCATAGGCCACTTATAATCTAGCACCTGCTTAACTGTTCATCTTCGTCTCACTATTCTCCAACCCCCTTCCCAGTCACTAACACCTATTCTAATTTACCCAATTATGTTCCTTAAGGGAAATGAAGATCTTAGATATTTTTTTAAAGCACTTCCCATATTACCAGTCTCCCAGAGGCATGGAGCATGCAGTGTTCTCAAGCTTATTTCACCCCAGAATCTTTTTTTTTTTTTTTTAGAGAGATAATTTTTTAATATTTATTTTTTAGTTTTTGGCGGACACAACAACTTTGTTTGTATGTGGTGCTGAGGATCAAACCCGGGTAGCACGCATGCCAAGCAAGCGTGCTACCGCTTGAGCCACATCCCCAGCCCCCCAGAATCTTCCTTACAGAGTCTTTCATCCAGGTTGTCCTTAAGACCCACAATGGGAAAAGCTTCAGTAGTACAAGCAGATGCTTTGCCTGTCTCCAGGTCTTTTTCTCTTGCCTTTGTTGTCCCTGCTTAGCCCCCATGTCTGCTCGGTGGGACCCCTTCATGTCCTTGATTTCAGTATCTCCTCAGGAATACCTTCCCTGACTTGCTTATGCAGGCAGAATCCAGGGCTCCCTTTGCCGCGCTCCCCAGCCCTGTGAATACATGTGCTTATCCAATTCCTTGACAAATTGGACTTCCAGCATCTGGTGTAGAGCCTTGTGTTCAGAGTAGTGAGTCAGTGAATGAACCTGGCTTGACTGAATGAGGGTCTTCCCATCTCGCCTGATTACCCCTTCTGGATTTCCAGGCGAGGATGAGGAAAGCGATTCGTCCTCCAAATGTTCTCTGTATGCTGACTCAGATGGTGAAAATGGTAGCACGTCAGACTCGGAGAGCAGCAGTTCCTCCAGCTCTTCATCTTCCTCATCTTCTTCCTCATCATCCTCATCATCCTCTTCATCATCGGAATCATCCTCAGAAGAGGAAGAGGAAGAAGAGCAGCCAGCAGTCATTTCCTCAGCGTCTTCGCCCCCCGGAGAAGTCCCAGCACCTCTCCCAGCACCTGTTGAGGAGCCCGAGCCAGAGAGAGTTGCAGGCTCCCCAGTTACACCTCTCTCTGAACAAGAGAAGTCTCCAGCAAGGCCTGCAGGTGGGTGTATAGGATCTGAAGTGTGATCTGTACATGTGTATTTGTACGCGACCGTGTCTTTGAGAGAGAACAGTGCAATATTTATTAAGTAATTGTAAGTATGTGTGACTTTATTGGAAAAACATACAAAAAAAGTCACTATCTTTTGTCCCGTCCCCTTTGGAGACATTAGTGGCTTAACATTCAAATTGCACTGCTGTGATGGTTCACAGAGCCAGACCAAGGTATTTAGTTACTAAAGTAAAACAGGATGATCTCCTCCCAAGTAAAAGTAAGCTAAGGAGGAAATTCCCAATTTAATAAATTTTACTACTAATTTTTCTTCCCCCTCTCCCCCCGCCTTGGCTGTACTGGGGATTGAACCCAGGGCCTCATGCATGTTAGGCAAGTGCTATACCACTAAGTTACATCCACATCCCTTTTTTTTTTTTTAAGCTTTGAGACAGTCTTTCCAAGTAGCTGAGGCTGATAATTTGCAATCTTCTTTCCTCAGCCTCCTGAGTTGCTGGGATTATATGTGTGTATCACCAGGCCCAGCTTCTACTCATTTTTCTTAATCCTATTCCTTAACGTGTAGAGTATATTTGTAGGATTAATCTGACATATTAACATTAATCCAGAACTTGGTTTTATTTTTGCTTTCCTTTGTGAACTTGCACATTCTGTTATTTCATAGCACATGCATATACTTTATTCTGTGGAAATTGCTTATTCAAGAATTAAATACTGATTGAATGTTTACCACAGCCAGTAGCAGGTGCAAAGGGTATGGGGTGGTATGTCCGTTAGGCTAGTCCTACCTGCATAGAGCTTTACAGCCTATAGGAAGAGATATCAGTTGAATAATTCATACATAAGAAAATCTGTGATTGCAAACTGAAAGCATCATAAAGGCACAGTGTAGGGTACTCAGAACCTGCATGCAATCTGCAGGCCTGGAAACATTTTCCTGCTAAAGCATTGTCGGCTTGAAATCCAGGTAAAGTAGGCAGGCTGAAGGGATTAGATGTACATGGACCCTAAGGGAGAGGGAATAGCAGTTTGGGAGATCTGGAAGAAAGATAAACTTTTGGTGGTTGAAAACTAGGGCTGGTGAGATGACTAAAACTGGAAAGGTTGGCAAGAGCCAGGTTGTGCAGAGTGCATAGGCCACATTAGAAGTTTGGTTTTATCTTCAGAGTAGTAGAAAGCCCTCAAATGTGATTTCAAAAGATGCAGTGCAGAGAGAAGTGGAGAGGGAGCAGAATGATGCAGGGATACTACTAAGAGGCTGTTCAGTAAGTAAGATGAGCTATGTTGATAGCTGGGACTTCATGCAATCAAATCAGTCAGTTTTCAAGATACACTTCAAAGATACATATGATCTCCCACTTGTTATTGAGATCCCATGATCCAAGGTGGGCAGTGACCACAGGAAAACTTCCTAACACTGGCACATGCTGCTCCCTTCTACACCCTACAAGATAAAGAGCTGAGTTTCTACTGATACCTCAAATACTCACCAGCCTCTCCTGAGTCCGTTGGGTAGCAGAAGGGGCAGTGAGGCTATAGGCAGTCCAGAGGGCATCCGTATTAGTAGCCTTCCATTCTCTGTGGGGCAGGAAGGCAAGGGATGTGATCACAACTGCATTTCAGAAAGACCATTCTAGGAGGAGGAGGTGAGAGAAAAGGTGAGGAAGAAGGTAGGGTGACATTAAAAGGTTTAAAGATACAGGCATGAACCAAACAAGGTGGTACTGAGTGGTGTAAGGGAGTGGAACTGGGGGAAATTTGATTGAGAGAAACTTAAGAGATAGACAACTTAGTGATACTACTTGTCAGGAAGGGAAACCAGGAAATGAGTGCAGTTTAAGAAGAAAATTGATGAGTTTAGTTGGGGTTAAGTTTGAGATACCTGTGGGATTGGCATCTGGATCAATTAATCTGATGCTGTGGGAAGAACAGACTGGAAACAAGGTGGATAGTTGGGAGTAGTGTGAGTTTAGGTGTGAACCCACCTCTGTATTCTAGAAGGATGTATGGCATGAGGGAGAAAGGGTCAGAGACTGAAAGTCCTATAAGAGGTAAGTAGGCAAAGGAAACCCAAGGATACTAAAGAGAAGTAATTAGGAAGGTGGGGATGCCACCAGGGAGTGGTGAATTTTGAATACCAAGGGAAGCACCGGTTTAAAAAGGAGGGAGTGATCCATATTATCAGGCCAAAAGAGAGGTCTTTGAGGTGGGAAAAGTGTTGGATAATCCAGTGATTTAGACAAGGAGTAAGGGGAGTGATAGTTTCAACTGATACCTCAAATACTCACCAGCCTCTCCTGAGTCCATTGGGTAGCAGAAGGGGCTGTGAGGCTATAGGCAGTCCAGAGGGCATCCGTATTAGTAGCCTTCCATTCTCTGTGGGGCAGGAAGGTCTTCTGGAAGAGTAGACTACTCTTGCTGAGAAAGAAGAGAGTTGAGGGGCCATAATAATATTAGCTAACGTTTAGTGTTTATTGTGGGCCAAGCTCTAGGGGCTCATTGAAAACTCATTTTCTCATTCAGTCCTCACAGCATTCCCGTCATTCCTGTTTTAGAGATGAGGAATTCAAGGCTTAGTGAGATGCAGGAACATGCTCAAGGTAACTTAGCTGGAATTGGAGAGATAAGGAGAAGAGAATGCGGGATTGATAGAGGAGTTAGCTTTTCAATGTAGGTGACACTTGGGCATGTTCCTACACTGAAGGTTACCAGGGACAGTTAAGAACCAGAAGAGGAAGAAATTCTTGCTGTAGTGACATTCCTGGGGAGGGCCTGTAGATCTGATGCAAATGTATCTATGAGTGGGGAGGCAAGGAGCTGTGGTGTTCGATTCCTGAAGAGCAAAAGAGCATGAGGGATGGCTTGAGTGGGAGCCTGCCTGGAAAAGTGAGGAGAGTGGGAAGCGAGGGTGGAAGCTGACCAGGCTTGCCAGCAGCACCGAAGCCCTGGGCCTGGGGGAAAGGAAGAAATAAGTAAGAAGTAAAGGGAAGTGACAAAGATAGAGGGTAAATAAGTAGAGATGGTGGAAGGATGAGGATGTAGAGGTGTGGAAGGTACTGTGAAAAGAGAGGACCAAGTGAGGTCCCTGGGGGCTAGGCTGAATAAAGATAGTAGTTAATAGGGAAGAAGAGAGATGGACTAGAGGGAAGTCACAGGATGAGAAATCAAAAAGGGACGTGGGAGGGTGAACTGAGAGGTGAGTTTGGACTTGTCACATGGTAGGAAATCCAAGTGTGAATACAAAGTGTGACTGGTGGAGAATAGCTGAGGATGAGTGAAAGAGATCTCTAGAGATGTGAGAATCCAGGTGAATAGTTGGGATAGTGAAGTCTCCTAGGTAGATGGCCAAGGTGGGAGATTAGAGGAAGATTAAGGCAAGTCTCTTGGGTTTTAGAAGAGAGGGCAGGACAGGGAAATCTGAGTTACCAAGAACAGGCCAGAACTGTATGACCTGATGGCAGGCCCTGGGAGGGCAGCGAAGGGCAGTTCACCCCTATCTCCAGAGAACATGTGGCTCCTGGTAAGTGGGAGCCTAATTGAGGGCTTATTGAGGATTCTAGTGATGAGAACCAGTTTCTGTTAGTTTAAGTAGAAGAATGGATTTGTTTACAGGATGTGACCTGCCTGGTAAAACCTATTTGTTTACCTATTGTCTCATGAAGCAAGGACCAAAATGCCTGTAGGTCCTGCCTGTAGGTCTTACATTCTGTGTCATTCTTTTCTCCTTTGAAAATTAGCTTCTTCATTCCAGTAGAGGGTGACTACTCCATCTAACCTCTAGACAGGCCTCTGACAGCTCTGCTCCTTTCTTAGATCCTTATTCTCAAAGTAGTTTCTGATTGTACTGGCTTGAATCATCCTAGTGGTATCCATTAGTGCTGGCCCTGGGGAGACGGGGGTGGGAAGGCGTATGGGGCCTTCCTCTGCAGATCTGAAGGCATCAGGAAAGCAATTCTCAGAGAAAGGAGGGATCCCCCAAATTGTCTCCTGAATGAAAGGAATGCTTTAGGTGAGGAAGCAAAGGGACATTTGTGTGAAGCTGAGCTTGGAGGTGGAATTTGTTCTCCTTAGCCAGGCTTCTGGAAGACAGTGGGCTGGGTTAGGAAAAGGGCTTAGTTGGGAGATTGCCCCAACATGGAGAAAAGAGGTGAGAAGATGCATAGAAACTGGAGTGCCTGGAACAAGCACCTGGGCCTCACCAGCTTTCAGGTGTGGATTGCCACTAGTATTCAGAACCTAGGACATTGCAAGCTGAGGGCCTTGCTGAGGATACCAGTCTTAGGAGCATGGGTTGAAGCCATGGACACAGGTTGACCACTGCCTGTTCAGGCCAGGCCTGGTGCTGTCTGCTCTTCAGGTTTTTTGTTTGTTTGTTTTTTAGTTGACAAAAGATCTTTTTATTTATTTATTTGTTTGTCCACTTATTTATTTATATGTGGTGCTGAGGATCAAACCCAGGGCCTCACACATGCTAGGCATGTGCTCTACCAATGAGCCACAGTCCCACATCCTGCCCTTGAGTTTTGTGAGTGGTAGAGCCAGATGTGAAACCACCATATCTACAAGTGTCCAGAGCAGCATAGGGCAGTTATTAAGAGCATGAACTCAATCTAGACTGCTTGTATGCAGATGTTCTGTCACTTGCAAACTGTGTGATCTTGGTTAGGTTATTAACCTCTCCATGCCTCAGTTTCCCTATCTGTAAGATGGGATTAATATAGTACTCTCTTAGGGCACTTTATTTTGGGGAGGGTGACATGAGATAGTATATATAAAAAAACTTGGATCCATGTGAGGTGCTGCTGTATTAGCTATTAATCTACTATAGCCAGCCAAAAGTTCCAGGATTCTGGTTCTGCAGGGAAGATGTTACCAGTGTCTAAAGAAGTGGACAAGGCTTCATAAGGACAGTGACCTTGAACTTGGGCTAAAAGCTTCTTCCACTGACAAGGGAGGGGAAGGAGGCCATGTTCCCGGTACTAGGGGCTGAGTTTGGGAGACAGAGCAAGCAGCACCTCTCAGAGACAGATGTTCCTTTCTCCACCTGCTCCTCATTGTTTGGGTGTCTGCTTCGGTCTCAGCTTTTTCAGCGAAGTCTTTCTTCTGACCCCTTCCCCATTAGGAAAAATCACCAGTTCTATCTAGGAACTGGGAAGGAAGGCAAATTTTATAAAATATTTTTAATACTGAGATTCAGCTTTTTACATTGTATCTTTTCCACCTCACTAGACTACAGAATTTTATATATAATTGGAGTGGGTATTTTAGTTCAGATCTGGCTAATTGGATCCTCATTATAGAATGCAGCTGACAAAAACTGTCTTGGTCCATGTGCCTAGTCGTTGGATGTGGTTCCATCACTGCCAGTCTTGGTGAAATGGCTAAAATCCAAATGTGGAGAGCCCTCCCCCATCTTCCCTGTTTGGCTGTGCATTTGATTTGTATACTCATTGGACTGAGAGCTCTGTGAGGATGTTGAAAGTGTCTGTCTCCTTTGTTGGTATAAAGTCAGGACTCAGTGTACATTTGCTGGCTATGTGAATGATCAAGTGCAGAATTCCATCCTATCAAGGGAGCCAATAGTGCTGAGGATAGTGTGCGGTTGAGAGGCAGGCAGTGTGTCCCCTGGGCCAGGAGAAGGATCTGTGCAACTGCCTGAGTTTGCTGGGTGGAAGCTGAGAGGAGAGTGAACACAGCCCAACTCAGCCCCAAGGCTCCTACCTCTAACAGCGCTAATGAAGTTGGGGAGAAGCTAACTCTCCTCTTTCTTGGTGTGCTTCCTTCCCCAGGTCCCACAGAGGAACCACCTCCCAGTGTGCCCCAGCCTCCCCCAGAGCCACCAGCTGGGCCCCCAGCTCCAACCTCCCGTCCTGACCAGCGACCCTCTTCTCCTATTCCCCTTCTTCCCCCACCTAAGAAACGCCGGAAAACTGTCTCCTTCTCTGCTGTGGAGGAGGTGCCTGCCCCAGAGCCTCCACCAGCTGCCCCACCACAAGCCAAGTCTCCTGGCCCGATCTCTCGCAAAGTCCCCCGGGGCGTAGAGCGGACCATTCGCAACCTGCCCCTGGACCATGCATCTCTGGTCAAGAGTTGGCCCGAGGAGGTGTCCCGAGGGGGTCGGAGCCGGGCTGGAGGCCGAGGTCGCTCCACTGAGGAAGAGGGTGAGCCAGGGACAGAAGTGGACCTGGCAGTACTGGCCGACCTGGCCTTGACCCCAGCCCGGCGTGGGCTGGCCACCCTGCCTACTGGCGACGATTCAGAGGCCACAGAGACCTCAGATGAGGCAGACCGCCCCAGTCCCCTGCTCAGCCACATCCTCCTGGAGCACAACTATGCCCTGGCCATCAAGCCCACACCTTCCACACCGGCCCCCCGGCCTCCGGAGCCAGTTCCTGCTCCAGCAGCTCTCTTCAGTTCCCCAGTGGATGAGGTCCTAGAGGCCCCTGAGGTGGTAGTGGCTGAGGCAGAGGAGCCAAAGCAGCAGCAACTGCAACAGCAGCCAGAGGATGGGGAGGAGGAGGAAGAGGAAGAAGAGGAGGAGTCCGAGTCCTCAGAGAGCAGCAGCAGCAGCAGTAGCAGTGATGGTGAGGGGGCTGTCCGACGGCGCAGCCTCCGCTCTCACACCCGGCGCCGGAGACCACCGCTCCCACCCCCACCTCCACCACCCCCCTCCTTTGAGCCCCGCAGTGAGTTTGAGCAGATGACCATCCTGTATGACATTTGGAACTCGGGCCTAGACTTAGAAGACATGAGCTACCTGCGGCTCACATATGAGCGGCTACTGCAACAGACCAGCGGAGCTGACTGGCTTAACGACACCCACTGGGTCCATCATACAAATATCCTGAGCCATAGGGTTCGACCTGTCTACGCAAGATAGGAAGACACAGGCCTGGGGTGGGGGTGGGGGCTTCCCTGGGGTCACAGCCCCAGGCAGTGTCTTCTTCAGATCACTCCTTGTGCTACATTGATTTCCCTCCCTGTCTGTTCAATTCACTCTGCCATGTTCAGCCTGGGGGTTTCTCCTCTGGCTGCCCAGCCATCTTTTCTCTCTGCCTCATACCTCTTTTCTGCCTCCCAAAGTTTTTCTGGCAGAAAAGGTGGAGTACAAGACTGACTTCTGTCATCTGCTGTCCCTTCACACCTAATATGCCCACCAGCTCAGACCGGCCGCCCTTTCCTTGGGCTGGGACTGGGGTGGATGGAGAGGAGCAGGCTCCAGGGATCTGGCCAATGAGGGACCCATTCTCTTCCTTAACACCCTGCACTCACCAACCTGAGCACTCCAAAGCGCAAGCGGCGGCCCCAGGATGGGCCCCGAGAGCACCAGACAGGCTCGGCACGCAGTGAAGGTTATTACCCCATCAGCAAGAAGGAGAAGGACAAATACCTGGATGTGTGCCCCGTCTCAGCCCGGCAGCTGGAAGGAGTGGACACTCAGGTGGGGCCCTGCCTCCTGGCCTACTCTATCCTCTCACCACCTTCCCATTGCTTACTTCCTTCTGTCCTCCTTGCAGGGGACTAACCGTGTGCTTTCGGAGCGCCGGTCTGAGCAGCGGCGGTTGCTAAGTGCCATTGGCACCTCAGCCATCATGGATAGTGATCTGCTAAAGTTAAACCAGCTCAAGGTGAGGAATGGGGACCTGGGAAGGGAAGAGGCTCAGTGAAAAACAAGGTGAGCTACCCTGGTAGGATCCTGTGTTTGGGTTGTGAGGGGAATGAGATATTCTCCATTCTGGGAGGTCTGTAGGAAAGATGAGGAGCTTGATCTTGAGAGGCATGCAGCAGTAGAATCTACCTTCTGCCCCCTAGTTCCGAAAGAAGAAGCTTCGATTTGGCCGGAGCCGGATCCACGAGTGGGGCCTGTTTGCCATGGAACCCATTGCAGCTGATGAGATGGTCATTGAATACGTGGGTCAGAACATCCGCCAGGTGAGGCTCCACATCCAGCACCAGGCTCAGCTTCTGATCTGACATACCAGACAGAGAGCACAGAATTTCCCAGGAGTTCCATTTGACCCTCTGGGCAAAGCCTTACTTACCCTCCCAGCTCCAAGAGTTAGCCAGTGAAAACCTGTGTCCTTCATCCTTCATTAGTAATATGCAATAGTAAACAATATTAGTGGTCCAGCAGGAAACAGGACTAGTAGTGTCTTTTCCTTTAAGGAAGTGGGGTGCCGGGCACAGTGGCATGTACCTGTAATCCCAGCAACTCCGGAGGCTAAGGCAGGAGGATCACAAGTTTGAGGCCAACCTTGTCAGCTTAAGCAACTTAATGAGACCCTATCTCAAAAACTTTTAAAAAAAGGTTGAGGATGTAGCTCAGTGGTAAAGTACCTCTGGGTTTAATTCCTATTACCAAAACAAAAAAAGGAAGTGGGGAATATTGGACAATTAATGACACTAAAGGATAGTGTTTGATATTAAAGGGAAAGTTTAGGGAGACAGGAGCAGTGTGAGCACATACAATGGGGTCTAAGACCATCAAGAGATAGTATGTTTAAGTTGGGAGCCTAAAGACAAGGAGGAACTCCCAGGACCAGGTGAGAAGTGTGCGAAAGCCGGAGGTAGGGTAGTCTTAGGAGTGGGAGATCAGAATGGCTAGTCAGAAAAACTAGGGCCAGTGGCAGATGAGAGTTTGGAGGAGAGGGGCATGTGGAGCCCAGATTTTCCATAGCTGGGGAGCAATATCAGTAAGTATGGGCCTCTAATGAGAGGGAATCTCTGGAAAGCTAAGCAGAAGAGGTCCTTGGAGGGTAGTAAGCTCCCTCTAGTTGTGCTGGGAAGAGAGAACTAGTCTAGGCTGACACCAGTGGTGCTGTCATAGATCAAGCCAAGGTGAAGGTGGCCTGGACTGGAGACCAGGCAGTGAGCTGACTGTGGAGAGTGAGGACAAAGGAGGAGGTGAGGCTCTTTCTTGGGGTGCTACCATTAGCTGTTATGACTCTGATGGGGCCCCAGTGTAATGGGAGTGAGCCGGAGGAGCAGATGTGTGATCAGGATGAGTTCCAATCAGGACATATGATGTTGCAGGGCCCCAGGGAAATCTAAAGATGATGCCCAGGAATTCTACTGAGGTGGATTTTGGCTGGAGATAGGAGTTTGGGAGGAGTCCCCACTACTTAGCTGACAGCAGAAGCTCTGGGAGGGAGGGAGCTCACCCAAGGAGAAAGTGCAGACAGCTCATTGTCCCGTTTACTGGGATATAAGAGTTGCTGCTTCTCATACAAGACATGGGTCCTTTCAGGTGACCTGCCATTTGCATTGGTCATCTAGGCCAACAAGTGCCTGTTTTGGAGAGAGAGGGTCCTAGGAGAAGAGATGAAGTGGCCACTGCCAGTGCAGATTTCTCTGGAGTCCTCTTGTTGGTGACTTAGTCAAAAAGACAGAGGATTAGGATGGGTGGCCAAAGAGGCAGGCTGGGTTTCTAGAAGCAGTCAAGTTGGGGGTTGAGGTCCAGGCCTAGTTGGTATGGACACTGGAGTGATAGCTGGCAGATTATCCAGAGGGGCTGGTGGGACCAGACCTGGTCCATCTGGAAGCTGAGAGGCCATGCTATGACCTTTTCTGTCCTATATTGCCAGATGGTGGCTGACATGCGGGAGAAGCGCTATGTACAGGAGGGTATCGGCAGCAGCTACCTGTTCCGGGTGGACCACGACACCATCATTGATGCTACCAAGTGTGGCAACCTGGCGAGGTTCATCAACCACTGCTGCACGGTGCGCTGGGAGCTAGGCGGAGGGATGGGAGGGATGTGGAGGGGGGCACAACTCACACTGCCCTCCCGCTCTGTAGCCCAACTGCTATGCCAAGGTGATCACCATTGAGTCACAGAAGAAGATCGTGATTTACTCCAAGCAGCCCATTGGCGTGGATGAGGAGATCACCTATGACTATAAGTTCCCGCTGGAGGACAACAAGATCCCGTGTCTATGCGGCACTGAGAGCTGCCGTGGCTCCCTCAACTGAGGTGGGGCAGGACTGGTGCCCACACCCCTATTTATTCCCCCTTGGTGCCCTGAGCTCCCAGCACCCCCCCAGCCTTAGTGGGTTCAGCAGGGCCCACATACCCCCATCTCCAAGTGTGGGGTTGGGAGCTCCAAGCCCAGCGAGGGAGCCTCAGTCCCTTGACGAGGCAGCTACTGCCTCCCCTGTTACCCCTGCCCACCCACCTCTTAATTTTTTTCTTTGCGGAGAAGAAGCTGTAAATGTTTTGTAGCTGCCAGCAGCTGTTTCCTGTGGAAACCTGGGGTGCCGGCTTGTACAGATCCTGTTCTTGGGGGGTTGCACAGCCCTCTTGCTTTGTGTTAATGGGGATTTCCCCTTGTGCCCTGCGTGCACCCCTCCCCAGTTCAGGGGTCTCTAGGGGCAGTGGCCATGTTCTCCCCCTGGGGGGGGGGGGCCCTGTGCCCCCAGTCCTGGGGACTCCGTGCCTGGAACCCTGCCTCATCTTCTGTTCCTGCCAGACCCTTTGGGTCACCCTCCCACCCTGGTGTCTGGAGGCTTTGGCTCATCCAGGCCAGGATGGTGGGGGTGGGCCCTTCTTGTTGGGCTGGATTGTATATATGTTAATAGCGCAAACCCAAGGCCACATTTTTATAATTGTGATTAAACTTTATTGTACAAAAGTGCTTGGTCAGTATCTTTGGGGGAGAGCAGGCTGGGATGGGGGTTGAGGAGACATGGATGGGGCAAGATGAAGAGAGGGAAAGGGTGGTCTGAAGTTTGGGGTGGGTAGAGGGCTTTCAGGCAAGAGCCCAGACCTGCAGACCCAGCTGCCATTGCTTTGGATCACCTGACAGGCCGACACAGCCATGCCAGGAATCCCCCACTGAGGCCAGCCAGAGTTGGGCCAAGGTCAGGCCTCCCTGTCCTTCCCAGAACCACAGCTGCTGCTGGGCCTCTGGGCTCCTGGGAGATACAGCAGGAGGGAAGGACTGAGGTCATGCAGTGGGAATGAGGTCACCCTGCTGCTTTGATCCTATGGGCCCCCAAATCCCTCAGCACCCACCCAGCAGGTTCTGGCTTGTCCATCCTCTCTCCCCAAGTACTTCGTTGTAACCAGATGCCGGTGGAGTGCTGAGTGACCACCAGGTGGCACCCTGTGGCAAGAGAGTGAGGGGCAGAGGAGTTGGAGGCTGGGCTAGCCTCCGTTCCTGGAATAGGCCAGGAGGGAGGAGAAGCGAGCGGAAGGAAGACGGTGTGTGGCTGGCCAGCCAGCCCAGGAGACCGCCTCCCCGGTGGCCAGTTTGGGCGCCCTGGGACAGTGGCTGCAGGTAGGCAGAGGTGATACCAGGGTTCAGGCAGCCTTTCCCTGGTTTGAGCCCTTCCCTTGGTCCTGGCCTTTCCCACCTTCCTATACTTTCTCCTTTCCTCCCCTTCCCACAATGCCCTGTCTCCCCACCCTTCTTTTTTGTCCCCAAACCTCTCCCCATCCACCTCAATCCCTACCCTTTCTGTGCCCCAGGCCCTTACTCTTTTAGTAACTCAGCAGTTAACAGGATCAGAGGGCAGGTAGCCTGGCTGCTGCCCCCACCACTGCAGCCTCCAGGAGCAGCTCTGCCTCCCCACCCTCTGTCATGGAGCTCTGGTTCACTAGGGTGCCAGGCCCCTTCTAAGAGTAATGAGTAACCAGGGCAGGTAGCAGCAGGCAACTCAGGTGAGCCAAGGTTTCTCCCCACAGCTGGGCATGGCAGAATCTGCACAGGCCCCGAAGCTGGTATACCTGGTCACAGGTGGCTGTGGCTTCCTGGGGGAGCATGTGGTGCGAATGCTGCTGGAGCGGGAGCCGAGGCTCCGGGAGCTGCGGATCTTTGACCTGCACCTGAGTCCCTGGATAGAAGAGCTGAAGACAGGTGACTACAAGGGGAAGTTGTCTTGAAGAGGGTATGGTCTCCCCCATTCCCTCCCAAACCAGGATACTCCCCTGCTTTGTGGAAAAGATGATGCCTGCTATGCTGTTTGGTCCACACGGATGGGATGAATGAGTCACTTGGAACATGTGGCTCCCAAGGGTGTAGGCTTAACCAAGCAGCTGGCTGATGACCTCGAATCTGACATTGCCTCTGGCCTCCCCGGCTTTTCCACCAGGGCCCGTGCAGGTGACTGCCATCCAGGGGGATGTGACGCAGGCCCAGGAGGTGGCAGCAGCTGTGGCTGGAGCCCATGTGGTCATCCATACAGCTGGGCTGGTGGATGTATTTGGGAGGGCCAGTCCAGAGACCATCCACAAGGTCAACGTGCGGGGTGAGGTGCTCCCCACCTATTCTAATCTTGCATAGGACACTCCCTGGCACATGGCTTGATCTTACCTCTCTGTTCCCCCACCCCATTTGACCTTGACCTCCTTTGATTCTCATGTGACAACCTGTACTATTGAAAGCCCTGCCCCTGTGTGATCATTGTTCATCCTGTCCATCCTCACTCCACCTGTTCTGGTTCTCCCTGGACCTGGGGTGGGCAGGGGAAAGATGCAGAGAGGAAGGAAGCCTCAGCTTGGATCCATCTTCTTCCTCCCCAGGCACGCAGAATGTGATCGAGGCTTGTGTACAGACTGGAACTCAGTTCCTGGTGTACACAAGCAGCATGGAAGTTGTGGGACCTAACGTCAAAGGACACCCCTTTTACAGGTGAGCTAAGATTCCCCCATTACTTAAAGAGCCCACTTCCTTAAGCATTGAGTCTTCCTTTTACCCTCACTAGGGGCAATGAGGACACCCCATATGAGGCAGTACACAAGCATCCCTATCCTTGCAGCAAAGCCCTAGCTGAGCGCCTGGTCCTAGAGGCCAATGGAAGGAAGGTAAGCCAAGAGACAGAGATAGGTGTTGGGGGTGCAGCCAGGCCAGCACAGCCTGACTTGCAGGCTGCTTTGCATTCTGCCCTGTGGGCCTCCTATCTCTAGCCTGAGGAGGCTAGTACAAAGGGGAAGCTGCTAGGTCCCAGGTCCTAACAGTGTTTGTCATTTGGCTTTTGCCATCAGGTCCGCGGGGGGCTGCCTCTGGTGACTTGTGCCCTGCGTCCCACCGGTATCTATGGTGAAGGCCATCAGATCATGAGGGATTTCTACCGACAGGGTCTGCGCCTTGGGGGTCGGCTCTTCCGGGCCATCCCAGCCTCTGTGGAGCATGGTCGGGTCTATGTTGGTAAGGACGGGGCTAAGCAGGGGGAGGCCAAGAACAGGGCAGGAGGACCTGCTTTGAAAGTGGGTGGGACCCATGTGGTTCTGGGAGGGGCAGTCTGTGCTCTGACTGGAAAAGGATGGTCTGTTCACAGGCGCAGGTAGATGATGATTATGTAGGCATTGTCTGCATGGACCACAAAGGAAACAGTATCCCTGCTATTAGGGAATGCTGACATAAAAAGCTATAGGCTGAGAAGATTGCAGGCATGGAAGCAGCAGTTCCCCAGGAAAGAGAGGGGTGGCATGTACACAGACCAATCCAAGAGAGCAGTGGCCTCAGGATCTGGGGAAAAAGCAGCCATTCCCAGGCTGTGGTAGAGATATGGGCAGCATCTAAATGGGTCCAAATAAGGAGTGGCTTGTGCATAAGCTGGTCCAGAAAAGCAGCATCTTACGTGATTGCAAGAGCCCTTGGAGGCATAGCCACTTCCCCTCACTGGCAGGCAATGTGGCCTGGATGCATGTGCTGGTGGCCCGGGAGCTGGAGCAGCGGGCAGCACTCATAGGCGGCCAAGTGTACTTCTGCTATGACAAGTCACCCTATAAGAGCTATGAAGACTTCAACATGGAGTTCCTGGGTCCCTGCGGATTGCGTCTGGTGGGCACCCGCCCACTGCTGCCCTACTGGCTGCTAGTGCTTCTAGCTGCCCTCAATGCCCTGCTGCAATGGTTGCTGCGCCCACTGCTACTCTATGCACCCCTGCTGAACCCCTACACACTGGCTGTGGCCAACACTACCTTCACTGTCAGCACCAACAAGGCACAGCGCCATTTTGGCTATGAGCCCCTGTTCTCATGGGAGGACAGCAGAACCCGCACCATTCTCTGGGTGCAGGCCATGGAGGGTACAGCCCAGTGATGGTGGGGCTGGGGCCTGGGGGCCATCATGGCATATCCACCCAGGTCTTGAGCCCTCACACACTGGATGGGATGGAATGGCTGGATTCCAGAGCTGGAAGCTCTGGTGCCATCTAGCTGTCCCAGAGCCCTCCACATTTTATGGCTACAAACTCTTGAGTCTGGGTTGTGTTCTAATGCTTGGTTCCAAGTTTCAGGGCAGGGTTTTCTTCACTCTCAACCCAGGCCTGCTGGATGTTTAGCAAAAAACTGATTTCCAGATGTTCTCACTATGCCATCCCACTTCTGATTCTCAAGCACGAAGTGGCCAAGGTTCTAAAGACTGACACCCAAGTGCCTCTGGACTAGGTTCAGATTGAAGAGACTTCTCTGGTTTCTCCCTCCACCTTTGTCCTCAGGGCATTATCTTCCCATTATTTAAAATAATATATCACCTTTAGACATTTTCTTAATTCCCCTCAATGAAAGCCGAGAAAAATCAGTGTTTTTTCACTTCTTATCCCTCCTCCCAAATTGAGATCTTGCAATATTATTAGCTCTCTGCCTGAGGATATCTCAGTAATGTTGTACCTTGCCAAGCCCTGTATTAAAATCCTTTTCCAAGCCTGTGTCATCAGTCTGTCCAGCAACTCTGCCACCCACTACCCCAACAAGTTTCCCCTCCCCACGGCGCCAGTCCCATGTGGGGACAGAAGGAAGTGAGCACACAGCACGCCCGCTGTTGGATTGGTTGCTATTTCTCCCATCCCACGGGGCCCGGCCCGGCCCGGGAGGGGGGTTGGGGGGCTCTGGGGACAGGACATGCAGGGCTGGGGGGTAGAATTTCCTGTATTTTATCCATTTGCAACTTGGTCACCAATAGAGAGAAATGAGACTGAGGGCCAACAGGAGAGGGTAGCCTGGCTCTGGGCCCCCAGCCAGGCCCCAAGAGTCCTGTCCCCTCTAGAGAGGGAAGGGAGAGAGCTCTAGAAACCAACGGAGAAACAGAGAAGGGGGCAGGGGCTCATGTCAGCAAACACAGCTACATCACGTGACACGCCAGCGACACAGAAACACACGCCAACGCACACAGCTGCACAGCGGGCAGGGGGCAGGTGGGAGAGAAGGGAGCCGGGGGCCACCCATCTTGTCCTCTGCGGGGCGGGCTGGGGGGGGCAGGGTAAATGCATAGAACACATCACGTGTACACGCTCAAGGCGTGGCATGAGCGTGCGACGACCCACGGGCACATGGGATGAACACGCAGTGTGCTTCATGAGAGGCCAGGATGGGGAATAAGGGAGGGAAAGCACTGAGCCCTGGCCAGGCCTGGGACCACCCACGGGGCACATGGCTTGATGGCTGTAGATGCATGGAGTGTGGGCAGCACACACTTGTCTGAGAACATGCAAAAAATTCCAACCCCTAGACAACACTCGGACACACATAGACAGCAGCCAACAAGCAAACCTATCATATAATGTGTGGGACTTTTAGAAAGCTAGGACACAGCAGAACCTCAGGGATCCCCTGGTCCACCTGAGGCCCAGAGATGGGCAGCTGTGAGCCTAATGCTATTCAAAGAGGCAGGAGCAGCACTCCAGCCTCAGCTCCACCCTTCTGGTGAACTTCAAAGCTGTGGGGCTTCTGGAAACACCTGGGCTGAAAGGGGGTCCTGGCTGGGAAGCAGGAAGGAAGAAGGGGGCTGGATGCTGGGATCAGCTCTGACATCTCCATAGAAGCCTGGGATGGGAGCAGAAGGGCTGCAGTCAGACTCCGGGCAGACTTCCTATCCTGTAGAAGGGCATTCTGGGAATGGACAAGCAAGCTCCCTTCCTCAGGACAGCTGATCTGGGGTTTACATACATGTGGCCATATTGACACAGACACACCCAGGATGGGCAGAACCTAAACAGTGAGGTAGGGAAGAGGTTGGCTGTCTGAGTTTGAGGGGGGGGCGCTGGGAAGGATGTGTTCTGGGAGGTCACATTTGCATGGGCTCTCACAAACACGCAAACATTCACACTTTGCATGATGTGGTAACCTGCAGCCTACACACATAAACCAGAGTCCTTCAGCTAGTACACAGGTATGCCCCACCCCAGGGCAGGGCAGATTCATGTACTTTGTATGTTCAGCCTATTTGTTCCTGGGCCATTGGGAGGGGGTGGGTTTCCAACACTGTCCTTTCCCCGTCTACCCTCTACTATCACCAAATACAAAACCCACCAACTATGCATATGCTATCTACACCACAAAGAAGAAATTAACCCTTTCCTCACCATCAGAAAACCAAGTCTACATCCCTCAATCTTACCCCTGGTGTGGGGAATGGCCATTGATGATATTTCAGCAGGAGAGGTGTCTAGGGGATGGGGCCCAGGACTTAACCCACACTGGCCACTCCAGTAAATCTGAAATCAACAGTTGCCCAAACCCAAGTTTCCTGAGGAAGAGCCCAGAGCATAGGGTAGGATAGTGAAGACAAATGCTTCTCCCAGGTTCAAGGGGGGTGTGGAAGAGGCAGGAAGGGTCAATGCCCTTATTTTCCATCTGACTGAGGGCAGCTCTTGACATCTCACCTCATCAGTAACATCCCTACAAATGTCTTTCTGGGAGGCATTTGTGTAAAAATGGGTACAGACCTGAAGGGACACCATGCCAACATCAGCATGCATGGGTGCCCCAGTATACATGTTGTGCCTGGGTGTGGCTACCTTCCTGGGACCTCTTCAGCCTTGGTATGTGTGAGTACATTGAGCTGTCACAGATTCAGGCCTGTCCCTGGGCAGAGACACAGAGAAAGATAAGGATCTGGGTATGTGTGCACAGGGGCCCTGAGGTTGGGCAGGGCAATGTGGATATAGCAGTGTGTGCAGCCACATTGGTCAGCAGCTCTGCAGAAAGGGAGGGGGACAAATAAATCTGGATAAACAAACAGGAATAGGGCACATGTCCTTAAAAACAAACAAGTGTATGTGTGTGTACACAGGGGACAGAAACACACTATGTAGAAAGCCCCTAAACAGACATGTATGCACACACACACACACACACACCCTCACACACTGTATTCCAGGTAGCATAGAAATATAGATATCTGTACCCACCCAAAAAGGTGTCCAGTCCATGATGTGGAGGGCTCTAAGAAAACTTATCAATACTTCAGACAAGACAGATGTACGCACACGCATACACACGTACCTCCTATCACCTATTGGGGAAAATGCGTGTCTATGTAGGCCAAGCTAGGTCATTTACAAGTATATACTTCCATTCACCTCTGGGGATCTCCAAAGCCCACAACATACACACACACACACATACACACACAAACACACACACACATACACACGCACATACACCCTCCCTGGGGCACACAGCAGCCCCTGGGGTGTCTAAGCCAGGAGGGTTTGTTCTAATCACGTGGAGTGTCTGCCATGGCCCATGTGTCTCTGGGCCTCCCTGAATCCTTTGAGAATGTAGAACATCTGCACACACACACACTACCCGCCTCATTTGTAGCAGACGGGGGAGGAGGTGTCAGTGGAGGAATTGCTGTTGCATTAGGTTCAAACACTCAAACACAAAATTCCATGTACACAAACTGTGTGTCTACAAATCTGTGGCCACACACATACCCACACACACACACACACACACCTATTCACTGAAGACAAACCAGGGTGTGGTGGGCTGCTATGTTGTACTCAGGAACAGTCTACACAACAACCCAGGTGAAGGGGAAGCTCAGCCCACACACAGACTCAAGGTGGGGGCAAGAGGGGTGATTCGTGATTCGGTGCATCTACACATCTACACATGTACACACACGCTGGGGTGTCCACACGTCTCGAGCATGTGCCGGCGGCATGCATGTTGGTGTGCATGTGTGATCACGCCTGCTGCTATCTACGTGCAGGGGCAGGGGGTGGTCCAGGGCAGGGTGAGGCCCAGGAACTCCAGGGTCTGCCGTGGGTGGAGGAGGGAGTGGGGTTGCCTGGGTCTGTTCTGGGGGTGAGCTCGGAGCAGGGGATGGAGTGAAAGGGGTGATGGGGGTATTGCTCCCAATGTGGTGGGGGAAGGGTCTGGGAGAGATAGGGGTGAGGGGCCTACAATCCCAGCGTCCCCCCAATGGATGACGCCAAGACCACCCCCAGCACCACACAGCAAATGATGATCATGATTTTCTTCTGCAGGTAGAAAGATGAGAGAAAGAGTGAAAGACAGAAACAGAGTGATAGAGAAGGAGACAAACCAACAGACAGATGGGGGAGAAGATGGGGGAGAAGACCGGGGAGGAGGGTGAAAGGGAAAAGGGGAGAAAAAACAGAAATAGGAAGAGGTCAGAGCCAGAGATAAGGCCTCTCACCCGATTTCAACACTCAGCTCAGCCTTGGCCTGAGCCCAGCCCCACCCACCAGGCTCCTGGTCTCCCTGCCCCCATCAGGCCACCTGCCCTGGCTCACCCTCCGCGCCTTGCTCTGATATTTCACAGCTTTCTTGGTGTCGGACACAGCTCGCTCCACATAGTCCACGGAATGTTCCACGTTGTACTCGATGCGGTCAATCATCTCCCCCTGCAGACAGTGGAAGGGTGCACAGGGAGAAATGGGGGCTGGGCTGGGAGACAGAACCTTGGGGACCAGGGCAGCTCCTGGGGTGGCATGGCAGAGCCAGTACCTGGCTTTCCACAAGCATGGCCATGTCCACGAACATGTCGTGCAGCTCGCGGATGCTGGTTTCCAGTTTGATGATCTCATTGTGCCTCGTCTCAATCTCGTTCAGTGCCTGCTTTGTCATCTGCGAGTCCATTTTGATCTAGGACCATGGGAGTTAGGGAAGAACTGCAATTACCCTTTGCCCCCGTAAGAGCTTCGATTCAGCAACCAGAGTGTCTAGGTTCAAAACTGAATGTCATTTACTAGCTGTAACCTTGGGCAAATTTAACCTCTCTGGGCCTTGGTTTTCCCACCTAGAAAACATGGATCCTAACAGCGCCCGCCTCACTAGGCTGCTGTGAAAATTGAGTGAGTTAATATGTAGTATATCAGGGGCTGGGACGTGGCTCAGTGGTAGTGTTTGCATAGCATGCATGAAGCCTTGAACCCAGGGCTTCAGGCATGCTACGCAAAAACTGATAACCCTGCCCAATCCCTTGGCCATGCCCCACGCCTCTGGTTGGCTCTGGACCTCCAGCACCCAACCCGCCCAGCTGCAGCTAGGTCGCCTCTAGAGCACCACTAAATAAATAAATCATAAATAAAACATAAATCTTACTTTAAAAAAAATCAGTATATCAGTTGGAATATCTGGCACTAAAAAGAAATTTTGTTTGATTATAAGAAATAAGACTTGTCCAGAGCCCACCACCTTGCCCAGGAGCCTCCTCTAACACACACACCAGGGAAGGAAGCCCAGGGAAGAAAGATGTCAAAGGCAGCAGGTGAGAAAGTGGCCCAGATGAGAAGGCAGTGTGCCCACAAGTTGCCTAGAGCCTGCATGAGATGAGGCAGGGGATAAATAATAGCAAAATGTACTACAGTCCTTGAAATTCAAGTCATGGGGAGAGACTCCAATTCACAGTCGATCTCCCCTGCCCCAAAATTCCTGGCTTGAGCTGGTCTACCACTAACTTGCCAAAATTTAGACCATGTTAAGCTACTCCTTTTCTCTAAAGCCTTCAGGACTCCCCACTACCTCAGCCTACACACCTTTATTTTGAGAGTCAAGGCCCATTCTCCCTTTTAGCACACACTCTTGCTCATCCTATAAGAATCAAAATCACCCAGTAGCTGTTTGGTAAATTGTCTCCTCTTCCTGTTTTTTTGCTTTGTTTCGTTTTGTTTTTTCAGAGTTTTCTCTTTGCCTATTTCCCCCTGTCCAAAATCTCCTTGCTTCTTGAGAGACTGCTTAATATCACCGCGCCCAGGAAGTCCTCCACAGCCCTCAGCCCAGGTCCTGACCACCCTGCTTTATAATGATGGGTTTCTATTGTAACGATGGTGGGCCAGTTGGCAGGGTCAGCTCTTGTCCATTGAAATGACCCCCTTGGAACTGTCCACCAGGTTTCCTCCATTCTCATACAGACAGACAGATGGCCTGGCTGCAGGTGTTTGGAGAGAAGGAGCTAAATGGCCCACAATCAATTTGCCCAAAGTAAATTCAACAAAGACCAATTATCCAAATAACAACTTACTGAAAACTATTAAGACAATCACAGTGCATACTTTAAAGCTGGTAGAGAACCATTACTCAGACCACTCGCCTTCAGAAGCAAAAATAGGACTGGGTAAGCCAGGAAAAAAAATCCATAAGGAAAAAGAATTGCGGTTAGGGGAAAACTCAATCGGTCACATATAAAACAAGGAAAGGGCAGTGTGCAAAACTTAAGCAAAACTAAAACTTATGTTTTAAAAATCTTCAAAATGTTCACAAATGCACCATATGGTGAATGACATGCTTCAGGTGGGGAGCATGTAGTAGATCTGAGTAGTGGAGAGTCCTGACTCTCATACTAGACGGTGGAGTCAAATCTTTCTGAGCTGGTTTTCCTCATCTAGGCCCCCCTGAGAGTTGTGGAGAGGATGAAATGAGTTAGTAAATGTAAATGTGTAAAATGCTTAGAACAATGCCTGGCACGCTATTGTTTGCCAATTTTATGGGGATGCCTTCCTGCCCTGCCCCCACGGAATTCCCCAGTTCCTCGTCCAGTCTGCCCACTGCTAGTTAGTTATTCCAGGGTGGACTTAGGACCTAGATCCAACCTGAACTTGGGGAGGAGAGGCAAAGGATTTCCAAAAACAGACTCCGCCCCCACCCGGGGGCTCACATCATCCGTGAAGATGGCCAGTTTCCCGCTCTCCAGCATGTCTTCCAGTTCTTCATTGGTCGTGGTCCTGCCGGCTGTGGGGAGAACCGACTATCATCTGCTCAGGGACGGGGCCCTGAAGTGGTGGGGATGGGGCAGGGACCCGGGAGTCCACCCTCCCGGCCACCTTGAGTCAGGCGCCCCCCTCCACAGAGAGGAAGGGCCTGGAAGGGCGCTTGGGCAGCCGCGGGAAGTTTAGGGCAAAGGGCACACGCACTGATCTCCAGCTGTCGCTGGATCCGGTCCTTGCAGCGGTCCCGATACTTGGACTGGGTCGCGTTATATTCGGTCATTACCTCCACAAACTTCCGGGAGAGCGTCGAGTGCTGGGGTGGGTGTGGGGGGACAGACACAGGGAGTCAGGGAGCCCAGAGGGAAGCAGCACGTGGACGTTTGAGGGGGGAATGGCCTCAATTAGTTTACGGGTCTCTCTTCAACTCGGGCCGCGACCTAATGCCTCACAAATCCAGTCCCTTATTCCCCCAAGGGGTATCTCCACCCTAAACCAGCGGGTGACCCCCAATGTGGCTGGGTTACGCCCACCTCTATAACTCCGCCCAATCCCTTGGCCACGCCCCGCGCCTCCGGTCGGCTCTGGACCTCCAGCACCCAACCCGCCCAGCTCCAGCTAGGTCGCCTCTCGAGCCAGATCCAGGTGCCGCCGCATCTGGGCCACTGACTCCTACCTGGGTCTTGCGGATGCGCAGGTCCGCGGAGGAACGGTTCAGTCCCTCCTCTTGTTCGATGCTTTGCTCGATCGCTGAGAGAGAGAGAGAGAGAGAGAGAGAGAGAGAGAGAGAGAGAACGAGAGAACACACATAGTGAGGCACAGGAAACCTGGGGCATATGGATCCCGGGTTTATGAAGGATCGACACCGGGGAGCAGGCTCCAGGCCTGGGAAGATATGTCATGCCCATGGCGAGGGCGGGCAGTAGAGAATCCAGGGTGAGGGGCAGCCCAGCAAAATGCACAGGTGTTTGTGGGGTTCCTGAAGGCAGGTAGATGGGAAAGTTGAGGGTCAAAAGGCCACCAATTAGAAGGGGGCTATTTGTCTAGTGGAAGAATCAGGTCTTGGAAAGTGCCTGGCTGTAGCTCCTGCCCAACCCCATGAGGGGATGTGGACCCAGTTCACTCAAGAAGGGTCCCACTAGTGAGGAACTCTCCATTTCTCTGGACAGGGGCAGAAACATACCTTGTGGTTTTAGTTCTTTTCATTGGGGTGTTTTGTTTGTTTTGTTTTTTGGTACTGGGGAGTGAGTGAGCCCAGGGGCACTTTACCACAGAGCCACATCCCCAGCCCTTGTTCCTATTTTATTGAGAGACAGGGTCTCTCTGAGTTGCTTAGGGTCTCACTGAGTTGCTTAGGGCCTGGCTAAGTTCCTAAGGCTTGCTTTGAGAACCTCCTGTCTCAGCCTCTCCAGCTTCTGGGATTCCAGGCCTGTGCCACCTTGTCCAGCTCTTGTTTTGGTTTTGAAACAATGTTTCATTAAGTTGTCCAGGCCAGCCTGGAACTTCTGGGCTCAAGCCATCCCTTCTGCCTCAGCTTCCTAAGTAGCTGGGCAAGTCACCACACCTGGGTCCCCTGTGATTTTTTTTTGGTGGAAGGCAGACACTTCCAGGTAGGTGGGGTTCTAGCAGCCACCCTTTCCTTGAAGAATTCTAGGGCAAACAGATGGATGCTTCAACAGAAAAACAGCCCTCCCCCTGCTCTTCGAGGTGATCCCTGTCCTGGGAGTTTCCACTTCTAAAGGATGTTCTGGGAAAGCGCACAGATTAACTGGGATTCCTGCTTCTGGATCGTGCACTCCTGACACTATCATTCAGATTTTTTAAAAAAGGAGCCTGCGGTAAGATCTACTTTAGTAAGATCAGAAAATGCAGCAGGAATGAATCACCAAGCCTTCTCAGACCTCACAGGGCCTCCAGGCCATTCCTGAGAACATCACTTCTCTGTTTTGCTGGCAGCAGGGAAGGTATGGGGCTGGATGACACCCCAAGGATTCCCTGCCAGCAATAGCAGGCACAGTGACTGAGTGATAGTTCTGGCCCAGCTGATTCAGGAAAATCACAGGAACACATATCAAGAGATACTGGAATCTGCTGTCCCAGCTTGGGGCCCTGTTGTCAGCTTTAGGGTTGGAGCCAAGTTGGGATGGAGGGGTCTTTTACTGTAGGTCACTGATCATGCTTCAAACTAGAAAATGAGTCAAAGGGATGAAACAGCTCTTTCAAGGTTACACTTAGGGCCTCAGTTCATGTCTCCAACAAGAGATCAGAGGAGATGAGAATCTTCTCTTTTTTTCTGGAGATATGGAGGGTCAGCTTCTTAAACCACTGCCTCTCTTATTTCTGGGTCTATTCATGAACCTTGAATCTGAGAGCTCTCCTCCGGGTCTTCTGAAGAACATTCAAGGTCGGAGCTCAATAAGCACAAAGAAATCATTGAGCTCAGGGGTTTTAAGCTACGATCCAGGAGGAACAGAGCTTTTGAGAAGGAACCCCAGGGGCTATTGCAGAGACTGAAGGTACAGCCTCCCAAACCCAATTCAGGTAGAGCAATCTTTTATATGTTTCACATGTTGAGGGGTTTTTGTAAGATTTCATTAGAAGAAAAAGATTTTTATGCTAAAAAGAGAAAAGGAAAGAAAAAGAAGGCAGTTTTGAAATTGGTGTAATTTCTCTTAGTATACCCATGAGCAAGCTGAGAGGGAGGAACTTGTCCAGAGTGAGTTAGAGTGGAAGCTGGATTCCCTCTGCCTGGCTTGGCTCTTAATGTGACCCTGGGTTAGGGCATTTTCCATTCCAGCACACTCACCCGAGTGCAAAGGGCTTGATTTTATGAATCAGCACCAGAGATTCACATATGGCCTCCCCTTGAGTCCGGGAGGACTTGGGGTTTCTGTCCCTGGGACCAAGGTCAGCGCTGTCAGGCCAGATATCTCATAAAGTTCCTTTCCCCAAAGACTGAGACATTAGAGGTGCTTGGCAAATATTTCTGATGCTGAATTACTATGAGCACACAAATTACCATCCCGGTACCTCTGCTATTCCCCTGGCACCAGCAGACAAGGAGGTTCCCAACCCACAGTGCTTTGGGAGAAGGTGGTTATTACCAGCACCCAAGTCCTTAAATTAGAGTGAATACATGAGCATTTGGCAAGTCCCTCCTGAAAGCTTGCCAGCCCCTGATGTCAGCCACACAGTCCAATCTGTCCTGAGCAGAGGATACCAATTCAGAAGCATTTGCTGAGCCCACCTACTGGGTGCTCAGTGATAAGCTAGGGACCCGTTCAGGAGGAATGAGGACTTAGCAACACCAAAGCCGCTTGGAAGATTCCATTTTTCTGATGGACTTTTATGCAGAGCTCAGATGCAATTTAAACAGGAACCTTTCCTCTCCCTTATTTTCCTCTCAAGTGTTTTTCTCCAAAGAATCTGGATCAAGTGGGCCAAACCAGGCTTGGGTGCTTTCTCACCATTCAGGAATCTAGCTCCTGGAAGTCTGTGGACATTCCTTAGAAAAGGCTAGTTTTGTCCAATGAGGACAGAGTTCTTTTTTTCCCCTAGTAATGGGACTGCATTCCTCACCTTTCAACTTGGACCGAACCTTGTTGGCCGTCTTCTTGATGTCTGCAGTGAGGTCCTCCAGTTCCTGTTTGGTCTCTGAAGGGAGGGTGAGGAGGGTAAGTGAGAAGTCTGGGTGGGACCCCAGGCCCTCCCCCTACCACTGACACCTGGTGGTGGCACTCACTCTCATCTGGGTTGGGGGCGGCCAGGATGGCACTGTGCTGTTTTTTCACCTGCTCTACATCTTCCGACAGTTTCTCAATGCAGCCTCGGATCTCTTCCACCTGGAGCAGAAAAATCGGTGATACCCAGTCAAGTTGTTGGGCCACATGAGGGGATCCAGGGTAATCAGCCAGGGCAGGAAATAGGCCGGACACAGATGGATTGATAAAAGGCCAATGAGAGTGAAGAATAGAGAAAGGGGGGTGCTCAGAAAATGGCTGGCGAAGGGCCAGGTTCTGGGTCTGGGGCCACTGGGGACTCATCACCTGTTCAAAGAACTCATCCATAAAGTGGTCCCGATCCACGTGGACGACCTCCTCCTCATCATCACTGTCTTTCGCCTGCAAGGCAAAGGAAGGCTGAATCCGTGAGCTGTCCCTATCTTGGTCCCCCAGGCTGGCTCTCTGGCTCTCTGGCCCTCTTCCCACGACACATTTATAGATATTCCAAGCTCAGAAAAGAGGTTTTGGGAGGGGTCCTAAGTAGGGGAGACGGCAAGGGCACCAAAAGGGGGAATGAGCTCCTGATATACCTTGTGGAATAAGGTTCTGGAGACCAGGGTAGCTGATAACTCAAAGGACACCTTGGAGGGAATTAGCAAAAGGCAGGTGGATGTGGCCTTATGGGTACCTGGAATCAGATGGTATTCAGGGCTGCTGCTACTGACCAATCAGTATGAACGTATTTCAATATTTTAACAACCAGCTAAATGTCAGCCTTGCAATAATTGGCTCTGGGATCCAAGAGGGACTCTAGAATGGTGTCCCAGGAGCCTGAGTGTCCCTGACATCCCCAGCAGTGCCTGCCCAGGCCTCACTTTACTCCGCTACTATTTCCCCCCTGCCCCCACCTGACCAGCCATGTCCCCTGTGCAAGGTCACTTCACTGTTAGCAGCAGGCGCCAAGCATGGTGAGGCCCAGTGAAGGCTGGGTGAGATGCAGGCAGCGCCCAGACCTCCCTAGTTCCCTGCAGCTCCCCTCAGCACTCTCACTCCCCGCTCAGCCTACTCTTTTTCATGTATTCACTCTCTTTTATCTAACCCCTTCCAACTGCACACCCACCTCCTCTCACTGGCTTGGATTTCCCAGTCGAAACCTGCAGCTGCTCAGCCCTCCACCCTCAGGGCTCAGAGACACAAAGGGATTCACCCACCCACACCACCATCGCCACCAACAGACAGACCAGTGACACAGACAGAAGTGCACACAGAAATAGGCCCCCGACACCCACGTGGAGACACGCTGTCATATTGAAGCTCACCCGCACACAGACCCAAGCAAAGTTGCACGTGAACACACAGACCTTCGGGCGGGCCGTGCCCCTGGAGACATTGAGGAGGGCCCTGGAGGTTTGTTCTCCCAGCCTCTCTGAACCTTGGGTTTGCACATTCATTTAGAGCTGGGCAAAGGGCACAGGGAGGGCTCCCCAGGGCTCTCCACTCCTGACTCCAGCTCTTCTCTGCTTGGGACAGAGGTCTGAGGGTAAAATCTGAGCCCATCAAGCTTAATTGTGTCTGGAGCTCTAATCAGCCCCAGTGGAAATTTCAACAGAGTTCATCCTGGTTTCTAGAAAGACTCTAGCCAGAGTTCGGACAGAAGTTCATTTGGAGCCTGAATGAAATCAAGACAGGATCCAAAGGGAATCTAAAGAGAAGAGCTAACAGGGTCCGAGTAGAATGCAGACAGGCCCTCGCAGAAACCAGACAGGCTCAGACCAAACTAGGCTAGGCTCAGACAGATCCCAGACAGCTCAGATCGAACCGAGACAGGGCCAGATGGGACCTCGATGCAACCCAGACAGCCGAGAGAGCTTGGAATCCGCAGATCCCCGACAGCAAGGGAAAGAGCCCGCACAGCCCAGAGGAGCCCTCCCACTGGACGCCCCCAAAGCTGCCCCAGTCTCCTGCCTAAGTCCTGCCCCAACTGAATTTGAGGGATTCTCCACACAGACTCCAGGCCCACACCAAGTCAGAACACATGTCAGACACTTCAAGACAACACCAAATATCTACCTAGAGAGGTGGGTGCCTCTGTCACAGCTGCCCCCAGAAGAAGGAGTGGCACAGGTGGATCTTGGGAACCCTGATAAGACTTGTGGCTTCTCAAGCCTCCACCCCAGACAGACATTGGCCCTGAGAGGTTCTGGGATGTGGGGCTTATCTCTGAGGACCTGCTGGTCTCCCATGATAGTTTCCAACATCTCAGTCCTCAGAACCCAACTACCCTATGAGGCCTCCTTCCCCTAAGAGCCAAGAGCCTTGCTCTGCCCCTTCTGTTTCTGCACATTCACTCAGCCTTCGCCCTACCTCACAGGGGTCAGGACATCCTCACTAGCCTTAGTATCTGGGAACTTTCCTGTTCTGTCTTTCCCTTTCCCATGCCAACTTTAGGAAGTCCTTCCTAAAGTCTAATTTCACTCTCTCTTCCTGTTCTCAGAACCACTTCCCTTAGATTCTTCCTAGAGTATCTTGGGCTACCTGTTTACTTGCCCTTGAGAGAGGAAGAAAGGTGGAAGGGTGCAAATATGATTTATTTGGAATAATAATTATGAAGAGAGCTAAGAGTTAATAATCCTTCCTCTGCATTTATAAACACTTTTACATCCATAATCCCTTTTGATCCTCACCATCATAGCTAGTCCTGTGAGAAAGCTGAGCAAACATCATTATCCCCATTTCACAGATGAGGGAACAGGAAGTCACAGAGGGGAAAAGGAGAGTGATTTGCCCAAGGGCTAAACAGGACCAGGACCTGCCTCCTCCCAAGACCTCATCTAAGGCTCCAGGTCCGGTTCCCCACTCAGTGACTGTCACCAGCTCTTTCTCCTCTCAGGTCAGCTCCTGCTAAGGCCCACTCTGGGTAAAAGTCTCTGTGTCCTGAAAAAACTAACAAAATGTTATCATTTGACAGTAACTTCTGTATAAGTCTTACACTCTAGTTATCTTTTTCAATCTTCATTAAAACTCTGTAAGGATCATTGGCCAACATAATTACAATTATGACAAACACTGAGACAGTGTTTTACAATGTGCTGGGCACTCTTGATATATTTATCCACTTAATGTTTATAACAGCCCTCTGAAGTAGAGATTATTATAGCTCCCTTTTATCAATAGGGAAAATGAGGCAGTGGGGGCTAAAGAGCTTGCCCCAGGTCCCCAGCTAGAAGGCCATGTGACTTCTCCCTTCCCAGTCCCAGTATCTGCATTTAGTGAAGGCAATAATGTCCAACCCACACGGTGGTCAGGAGGGGCAATGAGATAACGTGGGAAAAATGCCCAATGCTGCAAGACAGAGATTAATAAGCGTTTGGTGAGGGTTGGCTATTACCCCCGGCCTCTTCCACATTACAGAAGAAGAAACAGTCTCAGACAGTTCACCTCACCTGCCTAAGGCTTCTTGGAAAGTAAGGCCTTATTATTAAGCCCTTAAACCTGAGACTGTCAAATCTCAGGTTTTTCCCCAACCATCCTTCTGAGGATGACAGTCCCTCTATTCCTCACTGGCCCAAAGAGCCCTCTCTGTTGTTTCCTCAGTACTTTTGAGCTCCTGTGGCTAGGACAGAAAATCCATAAAATGGGCCCAGGGCTGCAAGAAGAATCCAGCAGCTAGGTCTTCCAGCCTCCTCTTGACTTGCTGTGTGATCCTAGCCCTCCTTGCTCTGAGGTGTCGTTGTTTAATAATGAGCATATATCTTTATTTTTTTCTTTTTTGGTATGACACGTTTTAATGCATGTATGTACATACTGGTTACAGAGAAAAAGAATTCGATTGATTTCACATATTAGACACTGGACAACCAATAAATGCCCTCTGCATTGCTACCACTAATGTAACATTTAATATCAGTGAGAAAATTGTGCTGTTGTAGGCAAGTGTTCTACCACTGAGTTACACTCCCAGCCCACCTGCTATTCTAAAGATAAAATAAAATTAAACAAGTTCTAATAAACAATGAGCACATTTCTAGAAATCAGGCAAGCCTAAAAGAAATCAGGCTCTGAGAGTACTAGGCAAAGATGATCAAATGTGTCCCAGTCCACTTCATGGTGGCCTCAGATGGACAATTCAAGTCTCCATTTCCTCTTGGGCAGAATGAGGAATATAATAATTTATACTTGTATAACACACAGTACCAATGACCATGAGTTGGGCCTGGTTACAAGTGCTTTGCATTTCTTGTTTAATCCTTATAACCACCCTGTGAGGCAGATACCATTCTTATTTCTTTTTGATAAATGAGGAAACTGAGATAAAGAGACTAAGTAACTTGCCCAAGACTATTCAGTCGATCGGGTGCTGATGGGGTCGCAGTGCCTAGATTTGGACCCAGGCACTCTGCTCTTTACTTCCCCTCAACTGCTTGAGTGCTTGGGAGGATTAAGGGAGTTGGCCCTGAGCTCTGGAGCACATTCTAGAACTGTCTTGGCAATGGGGGAGCATCCAACCCAAGCCTTCTCAGACTCCTCGAATCCAGGTGTTCCACATCAGAGATACAAGGGCCCTTGTGTGTGTGTGTGCGTGCGTGTGTGTGTAAACACACACGCATGCCTGTGCATGCTAACACACCCTGCTCACCCATGCTCCTCAGCATCGTTTGATCTAGAGACAGCAGCCTCTCTGCCCACGCCCCCCTCCTGCTTCTGTCCATCTGTCTCCCTGGCCTGGGCCGTTCATTCCTCCCTCCCTTCTGCCCTCCCATGGTCCAGCCTAGCCCTCTCACCCCGACCTCTCTCCTCCACCTTCCCTGTCTGACCCACCTGCCTCCGTCCCCATCTCCCTGCCTCACTGAGTCATTCATTCATTCATCTAACAAATAGGTACGATTTGTGCCAAGTTCTCTTCTGGATGCTGCTGGAGATACAGTGGCAAAGAAGACAGGCAGAGAGGTCCTGCCTCCAAGGAGCTGACACTCCAAAGGCGGGGTGTGGGGGGAGACAGACAATGAAAAATGGACAAGATAATTTCCAATTGTGCTAACTTGCAGGAGGGAGATAAATAAGAAGATGCGATACAGAGAAACAGGCACGGGAAAGACTTCAGATAGGGTGGTCAGGGAGGGCCTTTCTGGGGAGATATTTGAGTTGAGCCCTAAAAGAGCCAACTGGACTATAATGTAGAGGATACGGCACTCAAGGCAGAGGGAACAGTGTTCTGGGCGAGGGAACAGCATTCTAGACAGGGGGAACAACATTCTGCACATGGAAAACAAGTGCAGAGACCCTTAACACACATTTGGTGTGTTTGAAAGGCAGAAAGAAGCCGGGGGGCCCTAGAGGACATCCACTCACTGCTGGGGTTCTCTTGGTGTCTGTCCACACCCTCCTTTGTCTCCTCCTTCTCGCTTCTCTCCTCTTCTCCTGGCTTCCCACTCTATGTCCCTGCACGTACCCCCTCTTTTTTTTTTTTTTTTTTTTTTTTTTTTATAATATTTATTTATTTATTTTAAGTCTCGGCAGACACAACATCTTTGTTTGTATGTGGTGCTGAGGATCGAACCCGGGCCGCACGCATGCCAGGCGAGCGCGCTACCGCTTGAGCCACACCCCCAGCCCACACGTACCCCCTCTTATCTTCTCCTCCCCACTACCTTTCTTCTCTACCTCACTTGCTTGCTTCTCCTCCTCTGGAGCCTCACCCTAGCTTACTCCTTGGATCTGGGAACTCCCCATCCATATCCAGCCCAGCACCTCCCAGTTCCAACCAAAAGTGCTTGGTGAACTGGAAAAAGAAAACTCTGGTTCAGCCCCAGCTCTTACAGTGAGTTATGTGACCTTGGGTAAGTCATTTTTCTCCCCTCTGGTTCTCATTTAACTCCAAAATAAATTAGGGGTCATATCCTGCCCATTTTAGGGCTTACATGGTACTCAAGAGGAATATACAAATCGTCTGTGGAACAGCAACCACAGAGGACTGCTCTGCCCCAGGCCCCCTCCGAGACACTTTATGCAGGCCAAACTTGTGAAACAGATACTATTCTACTTCCATTTCATATGAGAAGAAAGTGAGGATCAGACAGGTTAAGCAACTTGCCCAAGGTCACACAGCAAGGAGCAAAGTTAGGATCTGAACCAGACCACTGGCTCTCAAGTATGGGACTTCAACCACTGAATGTTAAATAGACTGGAGAACCCCTTGGGAATGCTAAGAACCACTAGAAAGTCAATCAGGCCCTCAGGCTAACATTCCTTTCCAGAATCTCAGAGATCCTCTTTTAAGGGCTCCCAATGCCCATTCAGTCTCTCCTGCCTCTCAGCGCCCGTGAGGAGATCTTTCTTTTCCTTGCATCCTGCCAGCTTCTTTCTGAGCCCCACCCACTACCCTGCCAAATCTCCAGTCTCCCAGAGCTGTGACTAACACCAGAGCCATCAGCATCCACTCAACCCCCCAACCCCACACCATTCCAGCTCCCCAACCTGGGCCCCAGCAACCCAGCCCCAGGTTCCCTCACCTGGGGGTTGGGGGCCCTGACTCATTCAGCCAGGGAATGAGGAGCACTCCCCACCCCCACCTCCTCCACCAGACCTGTCTTAGCCTCTTCCCTCCTTCTCTATAATTATACCACAATTCTGCCACCACCTCACCCCAACCGCTTTGCATTTTTCTGGGTTTTGGAGACAAGGAACAGACTTGGCTGCAAGGGATCTGGGTTCAAACCTGCATTCCTCCCTTTGTGCTAGCTGTGTGACCTTGGACAAGTCATTTATCGCTCTGGGCCTCAGTTTCCCCAACTAATAATGAGGAAGTCTCTCAGTCCGCCTACCTATCCAGATTGGTGGAGATTATGATGATAACGGGCTTTGTAAACTGCACCATGAGGGAAAAGGGAGTTTTGAGAAAGGATGCTGAATCCAGCCGACCTGGGTTTGAATCTAGCTATGTGACTTTGGTCAAGTGACTTAACCTCTCTGGGCCTTTGTTTCCTTACTGTACAATGAGATCATATTTGTACCAGCTTCATAGGGTTGCTATGAGGATCAAAATGATTTAATATGTCTAAAACATTCAGGATAGTGTTGATGATTATCATTATTGTCATTTTCCTCATGCCTGAGTGTATATGCAGTAAAAGTTTAAAAGAAATAAACCTTTTGATTCCCTCCCCATAAACGGCAGTCACTGCCTCCAAGCTTGTGTCTCTCTGAAAGCTGAGTCCCTGCCCCCTAATCTAGGGGGCTCTCCAAAGACAGAGCTCTTTACCCCCAGTGTCAAAACTTCTGCTTCAAAGGCCAGGAAAACAGACACCTCTGTCAACTTGGCAGACTGGAAACCCACATTCCAGTCCAACACCTGCCCCCCCAGTCATGCGTGGTGACCTTGGGCAAGTCCCTTCCTATATCCAAACCTCAGTTTCCTCATCTGCCAAATGGGATAATAACCTCGGAGGTAACCATTGTCAGTCTCTTGGTATAGATCCAGTACATCAGGATACAGTGGCCACTGTCCTGAGCCAGTACCTTTATTAGCATAGCACCACAGGCCAGGATCTTATAGCAGACTGCCAGCTCTGCCTCCTTGGGACCCAGGTCATTTCCCTAAATGCCCCAGCATCTTCTCTGCCTCCCAAAGCATTCTCACCAAAAGCCCCATTCCCCAACCCTTCCAAAGAGAAGCTTCCTCTGCAGCCTCCAGAGCTGCTTCCCTGGTCTCCCAAACACAACTAACTACCTGCCTGGCTGGACTCCTAGAGCCAGGCCTCTTCCGGCTTGCAGACGGGGGGGCCCATGTCAGCCTGGCCTGACTGCTCAAGATGCTCCAGTCCCCCCAGCACAGCACAGCCCATGTCACATAACCCAATTCTGTGACCCTATGCGTGCAACCTTCTTTCCTCTCCCACCTCGGAGGGGTCACCGGGACTCAGGCCCTAGCCCTCTGGCAGTCTCCTGGGGCCAACCCTTCTTTCCCTGTCTCTAACAGAGGCCCCCTCCCCACGAGGAGCAACACACGAGTGCACACACATGCACACACTTCATTCACTGCCAGGTGTTGGCATCCAGTCCCAACCTGTGTCCTTCCTCATTGCACCCCCCAAATCTGGGTCCTGCTACACTCTCAGCCTGGCCCAGTAACCACCCCAATACTTCTAATTTGGCAAATCTGCTCCCAGGATGACAGTACCCTCCAATTCTCTACTGACATTCACTCTCTCCCTTCCCCAGGTTAGACCCAGAGGGCCCTCCTGGAAACATGGGGTGTCCAGGGCCCTGAGACCTCTCCTGCCCCCTCGTGTCTTAATGGCCTCCAACCCCTTCTAGCCACTGTCCCCAAAATGCAGGTTCACTGGAGACATCAGGTGCCTGGAGATACTGGGGTGCCCCAGCTCCCAGCCTCCAGTCTCATCATTCGCCCCCACCTCCCAGCACCTCCCCCACCCCATCCCCACGCGCTCCCCAAATATTGGGGTCCCGCCCCCCGTCCCCCCACCCCCAAGCTCACACTCCGCAGCTCCTGAGTCCGATCCTTCATCCTGCGACGGCTCCTCCTCCTCCTCCTCCTCCTCCTCGTCCTCCTGTCTCTGCTGCTGCTCTCCGCCTCCCACCTCGGAGCTGGAGGCCGGGGGGTCTGGGGGCGCCGGGGGGCGCCGGAGCCGCCGAGAGGGACCTGCGGGAGGGGGAGCGGGCGGGGACAGTGGGCCTAGGGCCGGGCAGGGACAGGGGCCTGGGCCGGGCTCAGCTCTGCCTGGGCTGCGGTGGCGATGCGGCTGCGGCACAGGGTTGGATGGAGGGATGCGGGAGCCGAAGCGCGGGGGAGGGGGGTGGAGGGAGGTGAGGAGGAAGGGAGGGAGGGGGGACCAGGAGGGGGCGGGGAGCAGGGGGCATGCGCAGCGCCCGGGGCTGGGGGCGCCTGGGGGTTGTAGTCCGGGGAGGGGGGGACCCACGGGGAGGGGGACTGGAGAGGCCTAGAAGGGGGTGGGGGAGGGCAGAGCCAGAGAAGCTGGGAGAGATGCAGGGAGACAGAGGAGATGCTGAGACAGGCACCGAGATGCTGGGTGGCCTGGGGGGTGGCGTGGACCGGCGGAGAGACGGGGCAAGGGAATGGACTCGGGGAATAACCTGAGGAGAGGTGCTGTAGATCCCTTTACACCAAGAGCTATAGATAGATTTGATGTTTCTGTCTCCGTGTGAGTTTGCGCACGACCCGCTCTCTGTGAGCGTGTTCCCTGCAGGAGGCTCTTTGGACAGAAGAAATAGCAAGACTGACCCTCTGTTGTAGCTTTTTTTTTTTTTTTTTTGATGCAAGGAATCAACCAAAGGCTCCCTGAGAAGAATGTGGGGCTTGTTTTGAACAGCCTTCCCTACCCTACCTGTCAGCATCCCTGGCAGCCGTGGGTCTCCGAGCTCTACTTGTCTACCTCCAGGGACAGGGTGCTCACTACCTCCCAAGACCTCCTGGCCCATCTTTAGATTGCTCTGACTGTTAGCAAAGTTTGTTCTGGTCTGGGAATGGAGCCTCAGTGGTAGAGCTTTTGTCTAGCACCCCCATGACGTGGATTGATCCCCAGCAGCCCCTCCCCACAAATCCTTATTGGGAAAAGGAAATCTATTACCCCTGTGATCTGAGTTGCCCTGACCCCTCCCTCTTTCAGGCCCACCTTTTCTCTCCTCATCTCCTCATCTTAACATCACATCAACTCCCCTGCAATGGGGCTTTGGCTCCTCATGGAACAGGCCTGGACCCTGCTTTTGCTTGATTACCTCTTTGATTACCGGCCTGGTAATTGATTACCCTCCATGACCTTTCAGTAGCACTTGACCCAGATGACCTCTTCCTTGACTCCCCACCTGCCTCCTGCTTCCTGTGCCACACTGCCCCCAATCTATGGATCCCAGCCTCCTTCCAGGCGCCTCCTCTCCTGCAACCCTTCAATGTCAAGGTTCTCTGCGTTGTATCCAAGGTCTCATCTTACTTTACACACACCTTTCTGCATCTACATGCCTGCAGTACCCACATCTGTACCTGCAAGACAGATCCCTTTGCTCAAAGGAAGCCACTACTATGTGTCTGAGCTGGCCACCAAGAACACCGAGATAAAACAGGTATCAGATCCATAATCATAGTTTGACATGGGAACCCCAAATACAGTGGTGCCCTTCCACTCCCCAGAAGTGCCCCTTCCTGTGCTCTCCATCAGGGATGGCATCTCCACTCACCTAGCTGTTCACCACAGACAGAAAGCTGTCCTTGACTTCTTCTCCATTGTAACAATGCTACCACGATCTGAGTATCCACCATGTCCTATTCACTACTCCTCCCGACTCATGGCAGCCACTGTTGTCATTCCAAATGTACAGATCAGAAAACTGAGGCTTTAAATAGTTAAGTATCATGTCCAAGTTTACCAGGTGGGACTCTTATCTGCAGCTTTTTTTTGGTACTGGGATTGAACTCCGGGGCACTCAACCCGTAAGCCACATCCCCTGCCCTATTTTGTATTTTATTTAGAGACAAGGTCTCACTGAGTTGCTTAGTGCCTTGCTTTTGCTGAGGCTGGCTTTGAACTCATGATCCTCCTGCCTCAGCCTCCCAAGCCACTGGGATTACAGGCTGGTGTCACTGTGCCCAGTTTATCTGCAGCTTTTGATCACAAAGCTATGTTTTTTTGGGGGGGGTGCTAGGGATTGAACCCAGAGCCTTGTGCATGTGAGGCAAGCACTCTACCAACTGAGCTATGTCCCCAGCCCCACAAAGTCCATTCTTGTAAAACCACAGATATAGCTCTTCTCTCAACTGCCACATCCAGAGCTGTCTCCTGTGTCCTCTCCATCCCTATCACCTCTGGTCAATCTAAATCCTCCTCATCTTAAGCCTAGACCATCAGGACAGCTTTTTCCCTGGTCTTGCCACTTGGAGCCCCTTTTATTCATATCCATCTTCCTCCCTGGCCTCTAGTGTAATTGTCCCTCAAATAAATGTGATAATGTTAACCCCCTGTACCAACACCTCACAATACCCCCCATGGCTTGCCAGATTACACTCCAAAGCCTGCTCTGGGGTTTGAATCCCATCACCATCACCTTAGGTCTTCTACCATTTCCTTCCTAAGCTGTGGATCTCTGACCTTCATTGCACCAAGGAATCATGGATTCCCTGAGTTCATTGCACCCTGAGTCTCTCACTGTGTATTTGCTTTACCTGGAATACTGTTAAGCACCTTCTGTGATAGTCCGACTTCTCGTCCTTCAAGATCCAGATCAAACCTCTCCCAACAGTCCAGGCAGACAACCTCACTAGGTATAAGTTCAGCTTGCTTCCCAACCAGACTAGACTGGGTCTGGCTGGTGTCTGCTTCTCCCCAAACATAAAGGTCAGATATAAAGTAGATGCTCACTAAAAATCCATATGATCAAATGGCATGTTCCCTCACACATTTACCCAGGCATAAACACAAGGAAAATAAACTGTAGGAAGGCAGTAATTTTTTTTGTTGTCCATTGTTGGTTCTTTTTTTTTTAAAAAAAATATTTTTAGATGTTGATGGACCTTTATTTTATTCATTTATGTATATGCGGTGTGGAGAATAAAACCCAGTGCCTCACGCATGCTAGGCAAGTGTACCATTGAGCCACAACTCCAGTCTGGTCATTGTTTGTTTTTTAGTGGCACTGTGCCCTGCCCCCCAGCATGTAGTGGGTGCTCAGTAAGTATTTGATAAATGAATGAAAGAGTAAAAGGTGCACAACTCCAATCTGGCTGCAGCTCTAAAAATGGAGACAGGCGCACATAATGTGATGACGGTAATGCCTCTCGTTGTTTAGTAATTTAATGTTTTGTTGTTTGTTTGTTTTCAATGCTTAGTATTGAAACAAGGTCCTTATATATGCTAAGCAAGTGTACCACTGAGCTACAACACCCCAGTGATTCTGAACTCATCACATACATGACCACTTAAAATCTACCAAAATAACCCTGGGAGTTGAGTTTCCTAAGTAGCAGTTTCATATATAGTCTCCCTTCTTGAGTGGTCTTTGTTTCTTTGTTTCTTGTGCTGGGGATTGAACCCAGGGGTGCTCTACCATTGAGCTACATTCCCAGGCCTTTTTATTTATTTAATAAATAAATTGCTGATTCTGGCCTTGAACTTGCCATCTTCCTGCCTCGGCTGGAATTATAGGCATGTGCCACTATGCCCAGCTCTTAAGGAAGACTTCAGGTGGAGAAATTTATTTTATTTTGTTCTTAGTTCACAAGTTTATTATGAAAAACACTGCAGACGGTGGAGAAATTTATACATAGCTTATCAACTTGCTGGGCTCTGAGTTCCTCATGTTAAAAGACCCCATCTAATTAAGCTCTGCTCCCTTCCTGACACAGGACCTATCACAACTGTTGTGTTCAGAAACAAAAGAGTGAATACATGTTTGACCTATGATCCATTAGCTAGAGTTTATTAAGGCCCTACCCTTTGTGCCAGGACCTATGCTTTGGTAACCCTACTTTTTAGTACACAGAGTTTAAGTAACTTGCTCAAGGCAGGAGCTTGGATCCAATCCACACAGAAATCCCAGAATCAGAATGTTCTCTTGGTCAACTGGTTTTTGCCTCCCAAGGGACTCATTCCAGCAAAGTCAGCATTATACAGCAGAGACAGGATTATAGCATTGCCTTTCTAGAGACACTTGAAAGAATTGATGACCTTATAACATTGAGTTTTCCTATCCATTTACATGGTATATCTGTCTATTCATTAACTTGGAACTTCTTTTTTTTTTTTTAAAGAAAGAGTGAGAGAGAGTGAGAAAGAGGGAGAGAGAGAGAATTTTTTTTTAATATTTATTTTTTAGTATTTGGCAGACACAACATCTTTGTCTGTATGTGGTGCTGAGGATCGAACCCGGGCCGCACGCATGCCAGGCGAGCGCGCTACCACTTGAGCCACATCCCCAGCCCCAACTTGGAACTTCTTTAAAGAAAATTTTTTAACAAAATTTTAAAAATTGTAAGCCAGGGAAGGCATGGTGGCACATGCCTGTAATCCTAGTGACTTGGGAGACTAAAGCAGGAGGATTGCAAGTTCAAAGCCAGCCTCAGCAACTTAGGCCCTACGCAACTTAGTAAGACCCTGTCTCAAAATAAAAAAGGCTGTGGATGTGGTTCTGTAGCTAAGGGCTCAATCCCTGGTGTGTGTGTGTGTGTGTGTGTGTGTGTGTGTGTGTGTATATATATATATATATATATATATATATATATATATACATATATATACTGTAAGACAGATACAGTGCACTCTTGTAATCCTAGTTACATAGGGGGCTGTTTGTACACAAGAATTTGGGACCAGATTGGGCAACACAGTGAGACTCTGTCTCTTAAAAAAAAATGGGGCTGTGGGTCTGGGGATTTAGCTCAGTTGGTTGGTTGCTTGCCTTGCATACATAAGACCCTGGGTTCAATCCCCAGTACACACACACACCAAAAGCCAGGGTGTGGGGGGGGACTGGGAGTGTAGTTCAGTGGTAGAGCACTTGCCTGGCATGTATGAAGCCTGGGTTCAACCCCCAACATACCCCCCCAATTAAAAATTTTGCCTTCTAAGGGACATTAGCATATTTTAGAATATTTATTCTTAGGCACTACATATATTTACATTTCCTAATAATTTGTTGCTGTGATTTATAAAGGCAATTTATTTTACGAATTTACTTCAGCAATTTTATTCCACATATAGCCATAACCAAGGACCCAGAAGTGATCTAGGCTCCTTCTATTCCTCATTTCCCCTTCAATCTGCAATTGTGCTTGATAAATTCCATCTCTTTAGTGGATGCTTTATCTCCACCTCCAGACCTCTCTTGATTTTTGGCTTGGTGTGATTCCTAACTGATCTCTCAATTAACCTTCAGAGACCCAGGGGTACTGTCAACCCCTAAATGCCCCTTTGTGTAAATTGGCAAAAGGTATACCTTTCTCACAACATGCCACCTCTGTCTGTCAGATAATTGTTGTAGTAAATATTCAAATACACGATGCCTAGGATGTGAATGGTGCCCATCTGGTGTGATGCTTCATGTAGAGCATACCCTCATAGCCATCTGTGTTGTGGTGGCCTTGCAATTGACCACTGGTGGGATCTTTGTAAAATTAAAGTTCTGTCATGGCTATTCTGTTATGAACTGAATGTTTGCATTTTCTCAAATTTATGTGTTGAAGCTTTAACCCGAAA